AAGTTCCAGCATCGGAAATTCTATTTGACATAATCGAAATTTCAAGTTTACTTTTATAAAATTGCTCTTACAGTCTGCAAAAAATAATAAGCGGGATCCAATTTGAAGATTAAGGAACAACGCAATCATTAACATTAACTGAAATAGATAATTAGATAATTTTAGCTTACATCATTTGTTATACATTAAACGCGCAGGCGAAAACGTATTCTGCACTTGCCCACCGCATATGCAAATTTTGCATATGTGTAAATAATTTTAGTGTGTATTTATGTGTAAATAATACTGCTACTTCGACCCGAGTTCTCCACAAGAGCATTCTGCCTTGCATGGATAGCCTTCAGATGCATTGCTGAAGTTGTGATTGAATAACAAAAGTATGTTCTTAAATCATAAGGTTTATTTCACTTTCCTTGTACTTTGCAGTAGCAACGCTTTGCGAGTTGCATTCCAGTCATGGTTTTAACTCGTACAAAATACGGTACTTTTCCGTTAGCTGGGTGCAAATGTTGCCAATTGTGAACCAAACACGGGCCAAGGCGCCAAGCAAAGCGAATGACAAAACGGAATAAAAGTCGAAAATGTTCAACTATAAACAAATATTAATGAATTGTAAACAAAACAATTTTACGCAAAAAGAATGCTTATAATTATTGGTTTTTCCAGAATACAGTGATGTCCTTGAGAATTTGCTCAAATGGATCGTTTACTCCTTCTCTCCACATAAATTCAGCGAGGTACGAGTCCAGATGGCGAGAAGTTCCCCGATGTTTTTTATTTCTCAATTTGGCCCTGCTCCAAAGTCATTCGATTTTCTGATTGTTTACACCATGTCAGGATCAACAAAATTGTACCGTGATTGACTTTGAAATGCTGTAGCCTTCTTACATTTTAGTTGTGCAGTAGCCCTTCCAGGAATCGGAATAGACGATTGATCCTTTTTCGATGTGATTTGTTATCGCGTCTAACAGTACTGGTAAAGAATGGTTTAGAACTTTAACGAGAAAGCATTCGTTCGTTTCATGGCAAATGCCATCAATTATCCGCTGTTGTGAAAGAATTAGGCCAGCATTGTTCTTTCGTTTTGTAAATAAGCTCTCGTCTATCTCGACTATTTTTTCAGGACCACCGATTTTTTTTTGCTCATGTTCCGTTAATACCTCTATACAAACTTAAGTAGTTGTTCCAATCTACAGCCGTATTATGATTCATAGCCAGTTTTTTTCATACCATTTGACTGATGTCATCTCTTCGCTCCAATTGTAAATAAATCTCAAAGATGTTAGAAAACTCAATCTGGGCAATTCGAACCACGTACCATTGCGAAAGCTGTTGCGGCATGTTGAAAGATTGCACCACCAACATACTCTGTCAGAAAAAGACAAGTTTCATTTCATGATTCTGATCACATGTTGCATTCTTTGCCTATATAACTATCTCTTGAAAAAAAGAGACTGCATCTTCTTCAGTTCTGGGTAAATCCCAAATTTTCATCATTTTAAAAAAAAAAAATTAAGATGGTAGAAAAAAAGGAAAACGTGCTTTGTTTTGATTGAATTCAGAGAATAGAGCACATGGCCCCAAACGAACATTCCCTTTATGGTTGTAAGAAATTTGGTGGAATTCTGCATAATTTGGCGATTTTTCGCTTGCACCTGGCTAACGGAAGAGTACCCGAAATACTATATACTGGTATCCCTTTTCTTAGATGGAATCATCTGCATGTTGAGCATCAGTGACTGATTGGCTAAAGCCATGAAACACTGGTAGTATGCAGCAATTTTGTTTTTAGTAATTAAAAACACTGACTACAATGGGAGTCTCACAGTGTATTATATAAAAACAGTCTTTTTCTATTTCCTTATATCTCCACGAAGGCATCTTTCCAAAGATACAGTCACAGTTGTCGAAAAACTGCGATAACATGCCGAAACAATCAGCATGTTATCTCATACTCCTACTACTGCACTCTTTGCATACAAGCAGGGTATATATAGCTTTTAATCTACCTTTGAGACCACTCCTGAGGAAAACCACTAAGAATATGTTCTAGAGTGTTCTCGCTCTGTCTATGGCATATCACCAATTTTGTTCCCAAATGGGTGCTATCTCACCAAATCTGGCAAACCTATCCCTGCTTTGTGGGGAAGCTATCTTACTGCAGCTGGGTATTTCACAACAATATTTATATATCATAGCAGCATTTTTAAAATGTGACTTCTCAAAATTATCCTTGATCTCCTTGATTCATCTTTGCTAGAATGAGTCAGATGACAAGTATTTTTCCTATCTGCTTAGCCCTCTTCGTAAGTGAGTTCAAGAAAGTAGGAAAAAGCTATTTTCGTTTTACTAAATAAAAAACGTATTTTTGTTTTTCCTACCCCTATTTTTTATTGGTCATGTTAGTGGCTGCATTCAGAAAAGAAATCTGTACTGAGAAAGGACAGTCCTGCTGTTGGGCTTTGTGGCTTATCTCCTTATTTATCTTATTTATCTGCTTTATATCCTTTATTTATCTGCTTGAATGAAATACTAGCTTATTCCATGAAAGACTAATTGCTGTTTCAAATAGAACACCTTCCTCAAGCAAAATTAAAGTTTTGTGAATCTGTTCTGTATAAATTCCCTAAAGATTCAAATTCAGTTTTACTAGTATTTTTAACTTTTTTGCAAAGAATATTTTCTCCCCCAGGATTTTTCCATCTTTGACAAAAAACTACCAGCTTTCATGAGGTCAGAACAAAAATTGATCAAACTTATTCTAGTGTGCAAAAAATTGCAATCTGATCTTCATATCCAAATTTAAGTTTGAAATACTTTTAAACTAGACAGTTATACCAGGGTTACTATTTTAAGAATTAGTACTCAAAAATTCAAGATAAAGAACCTAAAATTACACATTTAAAATGAGATGTTCAAAACTTAATGTCAAATGAAAGGAAAAGGTACTTGGTATGATATTACTGCATGATGAATTAAAACCGTATGGATAGATTATTTTTACTTAATCATTTCTACTTTTAATCATTTGATTCTTTTATAAGGAAAAGACTTGATTATTCAGAATAAAACTATGTTCACCTCTGCTCTTCAATATCTATATTAATGACGTGCCTAAGGCACCTAGTATCAATTTAGCTTTATATGCAGACGATATGGCCTCCTAACTCAACATACCAACATCACCATAGTAATCTCTACATTACAGAGTTTACCTTTCAAACTTAGAACTCTGGCTCGGACTGTATAAAATCAAAATTAATGTCGCTAAATGTGCTGCCACTTTATTCATCCGAAGAAACATCCCTCGTTTAGATAATTTAATTTTCTTCGGTGAACCTATTCTCTGGCTTACTGCTAACAAATACCTTGGTGTTTTACTAGACTCAAAATTAACTTGGCAACTTCACATTAAAAAAATTATTGCGAATTCGAAAGCTGTCAAAGCCAACCTGCGCTCCTTTTTCGCTAAAAATAGCGACCTGTCACTTGACAACAAGATCTTGCTTTATAAATCTATCATAAGGCCTAATCGCACTTACGTGAGTCCCATCTGGGGCTCAGCTGCTCTGACTAACCGTAAACACGTCCAAATTTTTCAATCAAAATTTTTACGGCAGATATTAAACGCTCCATGGTTCATAAGGAACGATGACATTCATAACGACCTCAAAATTATGCCCATTACTTGCTTTATACAGCGATTTTCGGAAAGATGTTTCAAAAACGTCCATCTTGTTGGAAATCCAGTATTACATACCCTGCCGGTATATGATCCTGCGGTTGCCTCTTCTAAAAAGGGACCACCCAGAGCAATCTTACAACCTGATTATGCTCAACTATCTTTTAAACAGCGCCGGTATTGGAATACAGATGCCCAAGTGGATGCTTACCTCTTGTTCCTAAACCCCAACCGCCCCCTCGTTAACAATGTGTAAAAGCATTGACCGGAGGAACCCTGTTCTTTAACTCTTTAAGAAGAGTCTTTTAACGTTTCTTTAACAATGGACAACTTATCTCTGCAGCCGCACGTGTCTGCATTTAATTTCTCAATAGCTTCTTTTCCACCCGCTAAACAGGTTGCTTTCGACCCCCCTAAGGGGGCCTTTAAACGTCACACTAAATAGCGACCAAAATTTTCTCCTGCATCAGCTGTATCACACTGAACTGCTACTAGAACCCGCCCAACGGGTTTCCCCCCCAGCCCTTTTTGCCCAATTCTCCCGATTGCTTGTCCTAAGGATTTTATTTTACTGTTGATATTAAGAATCAAGGAAATGTATTGCACCTTTTTATTCTTTTCAAAATTTTTTGAATGTTGACTCCTCTCTCAAAATTTCATCCTGGCCCTTTTTAGACAGAAAATTTAAAGACTTTCTATGAGTTTCACCTTTTTCTCATGCGGAAGGCATTATCTGAAAAGCTTTTATTTTTATAATTAGGCTTCAAAATTTTCCCGTATTAGATGAACCCCTCTTTTGATGTAATTATTTTATCTCTGATGATGTGGAGTTAAAGGCCTAGCCTAGCACACTCCATAAATTAACTTCCTTGATCCTTCATTGGATTGTATTTCCCACAAGTGTCAACAGTTTGTTTTGTTCAGGTATGAAATTTCTTGCATTTAATAAGGTCTTATTTTACGGTTAGAATATTAAAATGTAAACATCGGTTGATTAAAATAATATAAATGTAATTTATTTGTAATAGCATATATACAAAAGTATCAATGTTAGATGTTTAAAATTCAACAGTGGAATATGAAAATGTTTAGCTATTATGTGGCAGGCTTGGCCAAATGAATATTAATAATCTTTTTGTAAATTAGTGTACATTTATAAATATTACATATTCCATTTTAATGTTTATGAAAGTAATGGTTGTTTTATTTCAGACAATAGTATCTAATAGTATTTTGCATTTACCATATTGAAAACTTAATATTTATGATGTTAGTATATATCCATCCATATGTAATTGTTTAATTTTTTTCCTTCTAGTTTTTCCTTAATTTGGATGGTTTAGATGATAATCAGATCAAACAGTTGAATGATATACTTCATTCTTCAAATTACAATTCAGAAATAGAAGTAAGTGATCTTTCATCTGTTACAATCATTTAAAATTAATGTTTATTTTTAAACACCCTCCTTCCCACAAAAGTGAAAATAAGAAATAAACTTTTTCAGTTAATTTTCTGTTTATAAGTTGAATTTTTGATGAAATTTGGGCAACTAATGCTAAATTATCACCAAGTCAAAATAATTACATTTAAAAAAGAGCTTTTATAAAAGGGGTCCGAAAATTTAAGATCTGCTATTGTAAATAATGCCAGTCTTCACAAAATGTTGATGTTTTTGTATTTTGTTCTTGCATTGGTTTAGAAATGAAAAAAGTATTTTTAATTGATAAAAATTTTGTGCCTTGAAAACCCACTGTAATGAATTTATTGAAGTTTGGTTCTATATATTGAGTGGCATGCAGTTTCTGTTCCTGAAGAAGTATTGTTCTGCTTCTTATTATACCTAGCCACCAGCCATTTAAGCACAAAATTCAAGCAGTCTGTTCAAAGTCAAAACATTTAAGCTGTCTGTTCAAAGTGTTCTTCTTATTCAGTATTTATCCAAATGTTGATAGATTGCAGTATTTCAGCAATGCTTCTTCAAACATCCCTTCTATTGCCGGACCTTTTTCAGTTATTTCCTCATGTTATTTCCAATGTGGATGAATATTCAACACAAAGTGCAGAGATTAGTAAAAAAAACACGGGAGAACTTCGCTCTTGTGGGGGAAAAAAAAGAAAAAAGATACTGTCACTTTTTTTTTAGTGTTTAATGGAAAAGCAATCATTTCTCCCAGGATATGTATGGTTGTAATGCAGAAATTCTGTAAGTAATTTTTATAAAGAATATCTGAAGTCTTGCATGAGACTTACAAAGAATGCAAAACCATCCTTTGGAGGACAGAAGTTAAAAAAAAAAAATTTGTTCAAACAAAACAAACCAATAAGGGAAAAAAATTCATCCCCTAAGAGATGAATCATCTATATAACCCCAAGCTCATAAGGTAATCTTATCTCCTCTTTCCCTGAATTTCAAATTCCATAATAGCATCAGTCTTAAACAGACTTCTGTCTGACAAGCTCAATCAAAGAATATAATGTAAGAGGAGAACCAATTCGAATTTTTGGTTCATTGGTCATGTGCACCATATGGTGTCTTATGATTTACTCATTGTGGGTCCTTGTTCTCTGAGCATAGGATGTGACATCTGTTTTGCATAGCCTTTGTTTAGTACACAGAGAAAATGGAGAAGGGAGATAAATGTAATATTAAGGTGTTTTTCATTACAAATGGAAAGGGGAAAATATATTTCTTAAACATAAATGATTTTAATGGCTAATTATTGTTTCATTAAAATTTGCAAAAATTCGGGACAGAATATGAAGAATCAGTGAAAGAGTTTAAATCATCAGTTTAAATCTGGTAAAATGGCATGCAGAAATTATAAAATAAAAAATATGAAACCATAATTTATGAAATAAAGAGCATTTATGATCTAAAGGGTATCAAATTTTTTATGCATAGTCGAAATTAGAAAACCAGAAAACTATTTGATTTGTATTTGTGATATTTATAATGACGAGGAATTTGATTTAAATCATATCAAAGACGGAGTACATCAAGATGAAATACTACATTATAAGCTGAATAAAATAAAAACATCTGCCCTGAAGATAAGAATAGTGCTGACAGATCAACTTCCAGTTCATTGCATGCCACGCCGTCACCCACCCCACCCCGCGCAGAGCAGTGTGAAACTGATAAACAGATTTCGGAATGGTTAGAGAAACAAAGGAGCCGTTATCCATTTTTTGCAGCAATTCCACTTTTTGTTTGATGGACATCGAAACATGCTTTCCCTTTGTAGATCCAGCATCGGAAATTCTATTTGACATAATCGAAAGTTCCAACTTACTTTTATAAAATTGCTCTAATAGTCTGCAAAAAATAATAAGCCGGTTCCAATTCGAAGATTAAGGAACAACGCAGTCTGCAACATTAACTGAAATAGATAATTAGATTATTTTAGCTTAGCTTATACCGTCCGTTATACATTAAAATCGCATGCGTGAACGTAGTATGCACATGCGTTGACGCATGCACAGAAAGTTTGTAGCTTTGAGGTCTGGATTATGGGTGTCCGGATTAACGACTTTTGACTAACCCACTCAGCATTCATTCCTGCAGCATGGTATTTTTTATTATTGTTTCATAAACAGCTAAGCATTCATTTCTGTATGATTTTTTTGTATGTTATATGTAACAGAATATCCTGTGTTGAAATGGGTTTTTTTTTCCTCCCACAAAATATAACATTTCTCCCGTTTTTCCAGTTTCCTTGGGATAACAATCCAGAAGAAAAACATGTTACAAAAGGTAAGTTTGATTATTCATTTATATATTTATTATTACATTTTTTATAATAGATTTTACATCTTTCATGCTTAGCAGTTGAAAAAAGAAAGACAGGCATTCATAATGGTAAAGAAATGCTAACCACAGCTTTTATTTGTTAAGCATTCAGATTTGATTTCTGTGAATTTATTAATTCTGTGATATAAGCTTATTTGCTTCCATCATATGTATATGAAAATTCACCAAAAGCTGACTGTCATAAAAGCAAAGTGTTACCATAAACTTCACTAGATGCTGTGTCATGATTTGGATATTAGGTGATAGCACCATATCATGTGCCTGTGAATTAAATTTTTGTGCAGTAGATAATTTGTTTCCTTTAATTCTTCAAACATAAGCTTCATATTCCTTGATGTAACATTTCAAAGTGCATTTGGTTTTACCAAGCTATATTGACAATGAGAGCTGTAAATTTCCCTAAAATTCATGTCAGGATTTGCACATTTATAAGTGTAACATTACAACAAAAGAGAGAACTCAAAACTTTATGTAAAATACATGGACTTTTGTAACTTGTGAATAAGAAAAAAAGAAACAACAGGAAGTCAGTGAAATTAAAAGATGGCATTAACCCTTTGCGGCGCACTATACGTTGACGTTGGAATTTCAACAAAAAAAGTTGTATGCAGTCTTTTTAGTCCTAAAGGAGTATACAGGTAAAATTTTGTAAAAATTGCACCTACCGTTTTAATTCTGTGGGTGTTCCATGAGGTGGAACGCTGCGCCGCCAGATCTTTTAAAAGTGCGACTAAGTGAGCATTGCAGTGAAGCACAAAAATGAGTAGAGTGTTTGTATATGAAAAAACTCTGTATTATGGCTGTATATATGGTTTCCTGGATATACACAATATTCTTGAATATATACAGATAAATGAGATAAATATCTGTATACACAAAATATTTACAAATTTTCCTATTTCTTAGCTTCGTGAAATTGTTCAAAGCAAGTCACACCTTTTGATGGAAGCACAAACCATCTTTGCGGGTTTTACACATAAAACTTGTTTTGTGTGGCTTTTGCTTCATTCTACAATGTGCACATCGTCTACGCATACTCTTCACCGGTATGTGTTCAACACTACTATAGCGTTCTTCCCCGGAAACCTTTACTTTATGCCTGGAAGTATCTTCAGCTCTTGAAGAAAGTCGCCTCTTCAAAGTTATCTCTGACGCTTTCATGGCACAGAGGGAACACAGCAAATTTAAACGGAAATCTTTGGGCTGTAATCCGAGGGTAATTCATAAAACACTTTTAGCGCTTCGGAAAGAGTTATATCTCTCTGCGCCATTTATGGAAAATTAATAATAAAAATATTAACTACGATTAATATTAGCAATAAAGAAAAATTAACCTATAATATATACATACACAAAAAATCTATACACAATTATTGAAAATAAACGGGAATGAGACTAAAAAGCGACAGCAAAAAATTCGCTCAGGTCTAAGTAATGATGAGTCAAGCTACTAATAAAATTCCTGCCTAAAAACGACTCCCAAAAAATTTGAGATGCCAATATTAAGGCTCTCATAACACAAAACACACCTCACCCCTCAATACTGCTTTGTTTGAATTCATTGCCCCCCAAAACAACGGAAAAAGAAAACGTAAACAACGGATGTTCTCTCCTAAGCACAGATGTTCTGATTCGTAACAGCATGAGATCGCTAAAGGCGCAGTGTTCCCGCTAATGGAACACCCGGTTTCATTCAATGATTCTGCGTCTGGTTTTTGTGTGAAAGATTAAAAAAAATATAGAACAAATAATTTGGAGTACAGCCAGAAAAATTATACCTAATTTTTTTTCCAAATAAAATGTTTTATATCATTAAAAAAATAGAGAAAATTACTTGAAAAAAAGTGGATTTTAATAACACATTATAAATGAAAATTCTGTGTCTCCTTGTGATATGCTGCTATCTACTATTTAAAAAGAAAAGTTCAAAATATATTATAAAGGCATTTTTATCTATTTACGGTTGAAGTTAAAGGTTTCAGAAGTGATTCAATTTGGGTGTTCTATGTAAACACTGAGTCGCAAAGGGTTAACTAGGGCAGAAAAAAATATGCCATTTCTTTTAATTTCATTAACTATAAGAAAATTTATGAACAGGAAAAATGTAAATATGATTAAATCTGATATAGTAAGCCTCTTGAATTGCAAAGGTTCACAAATCAGTGAGTTCTTGCCCCAAAGCTGAATGAGACAAGCAGGCTTTGAGTGTAAGGAAAATGCACAGAGAGAAGCTTAATTTTTGTTTGGTAGAATGGCAGAATTTGACGTGGGGATAAACTGAAGCAAGCATCTTACTTTCTTTAATATTAAAACTAGAACTGTTGCATGTGACTTGAATGTAAGAAAGGAAAAGGAATTACACTGAAATGCCACTGAATTAGGGATACCGACGTAGTAACAAGTTGGGCCTCCTCAGGCCTTGATAACGGCTGCCACATAACGAGGCATAGATTCAACAAGTTTCTGGAAACATTCAATGGGAATGGCTTGCCAAATATTAGCTAAAGCGGTCCACAATTTAGTATGGTTCGTTGGTGCTGTAATGGCCTTTCACACCTTGTTCCAAAACATCCCAAAGATGCTCAATAGGATTTAAGTCTGGTCTTCTAGGTGGCCAATTCAAAAACATCTCGGACTATGATTGAGCCACCATGCCCTGCATAGTTCCAGCGTGGCATGCAGGATCCATGGCTTCATGAGCCTGACGCCATTTTCTCAGCCTCCCTCGCCATTAAGTAGTTGAAATCGAGACTCATCACTCCATGCTACTCGTTTCCAGTCCTGTATACACCAGTCTCTGTGCTCCCAGGCAAGATGTGCAGCCCGATGGCGAGCATTGAGCAATGGTACTCTCGTAGTTCGACGGCTCTCGAAACCCATTTAGTGAAGCGAGCATTGCACAGTCCATTTACTGACTGCATGGCTGGCACCATCATTCAACTGGGTGGTAATTTGAGCTGATGTTTGGTTTCGCTGGCTACATACAATGCGCCTGAGCCGTCTCTCACCACGCACTGTCGAGGCTAATTGTCCTTTGCAGTTTGTACAGTCATTACTTTTTTTCTCCACCATCCATGTATTCTTTGTATACTTGTTGCAAATATATTGTAACCCCTCATCTCTCCTCCTTGAAATAAATTTAAAAAAAATTTTCCTCCTCTTCAAATTCACCGCCACTGTTTATGTTACGAACGGACTGTTCCAGCTTTATTAATATGCAAAAGCGAAACTCGAGATTATGTCATTTGGAAAGCAGGGTCGTGCTGATAGTTGATTTACTGCTATGCTAGGACTTCATATCTACTACTTGTATAAATATCTCGCACCGCTCTAACTTGGAGATGATTTTTGCCCCTATTTTCTTTGGGGTGTTGTTCCAGTTCGCATTCGAGAACGTTCTTGTGATGCATGGCATCCAGTGTTGAGTAACTCTTTAGTGCCGTTGCTTTGTGCCATGTTTGTTTTTCAGGATTTGGCAAAGCGGCAATGTTTTCAATTTGTTGTTTCCTGCGGTGGGCGGAATCTTTAAACACAAGTGATTTCAAGGTTTAATTTTTCCAGGTGTCTTCTTAGTTAAAAGCATGGATATTTACTTAATCAGATGAAATTCAAGTTAATCATTTCCCCCCCCCCCCTGTGATATGTTTGTCACGAGTTTTTGAATGCCAGTATTTATGGAATAGGTAATGTGTTTGTTGTACCATTAATAGTGTAATATTCTTAAAAGAAAACCCTTGGGGATTAATGAATAGTTAACCAAGTACAATATTTTTTTTTTTTTTTTTTTTTTTTTTTTTTGCAATGACTAGGTTACAATCTTAACTTCAAGTTTCTTGTATTTATCAAATTTCTTTATTGTATTTTCATATATATTGTTAAATGTTTTTTAATAAATTGGTTAAGTTTAAAACCTTTGTCATCCGTGTCTGTGTAATACATAAACTTAGGATGTTTCTACTGTGATAGTTATTTCTGCTAATTTTTTTTTAAATGCTTTCTATCGCTTAGTACTTTGTTTTTCGCATCAATACTCTTGACGCTGTCGACCTTAAAAATCTTAGCTGTGTGACGATTTCGGAAATTGAATGGCTCATGCGTCGCGCACCTATGATTTGTTCGCGATCGAAGGTGTCTAAATCAGGCAATTTACGCATACTGGCAATTCTAACAACTAATTCAGAACAACAGTACACTCTATATATGCAGTTATCACAGCGCAATGCGCATCGCTACACAATTTGCTATTGTCCTTGCTGTCCCTAATTCTGTGGCACTTCAGTGTAGCTGTTTTGATTTGAAAAGTGAACTGGGTGACAGATTCTATGAAATTCAGAATTGCAAAATAAATATTGCCATTAAAACTGTGAAGCGAAGGTAATTTGCAGTTTAGAAGGTTTCTGGTTGTATTCAATATGAATTAACATTGTAATAATTTTCTTGCATTTGCACTTTATTAAAAAATGAAAATGCTGTTTAAGAGATAACTTAGCCAAAAAAAATGAAGGGTATAATGAAAGTAAAGAATATAATTGCAAAAGCAAACCTAACTGTAACTGTATATGTTGTTTTACAGAGAAGATATTAAAAAGGTCAAGTAAAATAGGGTAGTGGACTTAAATTCCACATTCTTTATTTTAAAATATAGTATCAAGTTCAAGAATGCTGAAAGCATATTCTATTTAAAGAAATGAATGTGTAGGAATAATATTGGAGCGTTTCCTATTTGAGTTTGCCTTTAGGAAGCTTGAACTGTGTTGGATGTAATATTAAATAATTTTTGCCATATTTGAATATACATAATTAAATATTAATATATTTTACATCAGAATCATGCATTATAAGGTGAATTTACTTCAGTTTGGAATTTATTTTTAAATGGTGTTGCTATGCATTTAAAAAACCTCCAAGAACCTCCTGTTTTTTTTCGTATTTTAAGATTGGCAGCTATGCTCTATTTTATCTAGTTAATTGTTAGGCTCAAAATTTACTTGTATATAGACTTCTCAAAGATGATCAGCTTTAACACAAAAATCAAACGTAAGATCTTTAGGTATCCAGAAACATTCACCTTAATATAAAATTGAAATGAACTCAGCATGGGAGATGCTATGAGCAAATGTTTTAAAGATTTCTTGAAGAAAATAACGAGAAAGTCTTTTTCTGTTTCACTGGGATTTAATGTTAAGCACAAATATGCAACGTAATTAAAATACATTTTCTGCATTAAATTTGTTCTGTATAGGCTTTTGAATTTTTAACACGTGTTCAAAGTTGTACTGAGAAATTTTCAATTTCTTTTTTTTTCCCCTTTTCAGGTGGTTCATCTTTAAATGTTCATGCTCCTGTTTTTGAAACATATGTGTCAAAAGTTAATAATCATGAAGTGGGTGAACCATGCCATTCTTCAACAGTTCCTTTTAGCAATGGATCCAGTCAAGTTCTAAACTCAGTCCCTCATAAGAATTCAGAATATGATTATCCCATAAATTCTGGAAAAAAGATTTTGCAGCAGGAAAATTTAAGTTATGTAAATGGTCAATTAGCACACCAGACAGCTAAGGCTTTTGATACCTGCAATGCTTATTCTGAAGTTTCAGAGACTGCATATTGTGATGCTTTCCCTTCTAGATCCCTTAATGCTCAGGTGCATACCCCAGCTGCAAGCTTTAAATTGAATCCTACGGTTTCATGTTTTGTACCCCAAAATATTAAGGGATTTGTTCAGAAAAGCCCGTCATCTGTTTCTAATGAACTGCAAACAACAGTAATAGAGACTCATCAAAATAATGAGGCAGGTATGGTATATGAAAAGGCGGAATGCCTTGATAAACAGAATTCCACTACTGGAAGAGACATTATTACCCAAGTTGTCAACGGCTCTGATCAAAAATTAGAACATGAGAATGTCACATGTGGGAAATCAAACATTCAGAGTGATAAAATGGATGGAACAGCTCATGCTAACAAAAACCGTGTGAGCTTAAGTGTACCTGTCCGCCGTTCTTGGGCTGATGTTGTCAGCAGTGGGCAGCGAGTTGCAGGAAAGGTACCTCTTACTAAGCCTCTTGAAAATGGGAACAAAACACAAAATGTTCAGAAAGATCAAGAAATTGAAAATTTGTCTATTGAAGAAGACAAGATGTCATTATCCTTAGGAAGTAAGTTGAATTTCAAATTTCTTATGTATTAACTGTGTGTTTAATTCTCATTTAACTTAAAATATTAATTTGACACTTTAAACGTTTTTTTTTTAAATTTCTTTATAGTTTAATTAAGTCTTCATGTGATGTTCGTTTAAATTACTGTAATGTTTGCTGTACTTCTAAATTTTTTTTAAATTTAAAATTTGTGTTTTATTACTCAAATCGTACAGTGGGTCATTGGATCACAAACTCCTTACTTCCTAAGCATTTTGGTTCACAAGCACATTAACTAGAAGGGGAGGGAACCCTCAGATGATAAAGACTGTTTCATGTTATAAGCACTCAAGTTGGTTGCATATGAATTTCAGAGGTGTCTTGGAGTAACCTATCTATATAAATAACAGCTTGAGACTTCTGGAAACATCACTTTAATATTTTGCATTGCTTTAACAGTTATTTTAATGTACCATATTTAGTGCAGCATATATACTATTTGAAATGTTTTCTGTATTTATTCCTGAGCAGTTTAAAATTTATTCCAAGGCTGGTGGAATGTCATTCTTCAGAATCAGAACTGCTTGAAATTTGTCGTTGGGGAAAAAAAGCCTTTAGATGTCGAATAATTTTGTCTCAACTAGAATCATCATCAGTAATCTTGTTCATGCAAGAATAATTTGATCTGCACAACCATTCTTCATCACCACATTCTATTCTATTTGCATCCATTTTTAGGAATTTACTGTAAAAAAGTTCTTCTCTACCAAAAAATATATATATATATATATATTCGCCAGTAATTCGTTATATAACGAGTTTTGTCATCTCCCGCATTTTAACAAGTCTTCACAAAATAATTTGTTTTATGCACTTTAATAACAATCTGCATAAAACAGTTTAGTTGTTTTCCATGCTTTAACAGCAATATGCACAAACCGACTTTAGTTGTTTCCCACTTACGTTGTGTTAATTGCAGTGCTTATCTAGAGATTTTAGATATGTGTTAGCAGCATATTTGGTAAACATTCGAGAAAAATTTCAGTAGTTTAACAGACTTACGGCAAAGAAAATTTTTGTGGCTTTTTGACAAGGACATTTCAGGAACTGCAGTTTGTCTACCATGTCATGCTGGTCTGGTGAAAGTGACAGAATAATAATATGCAACAAATGGCTAAATATTATACAAAATAAGTGGCACAAAAACTGCAGCCATAGATAAAAGGATTGAATGGTAGTGTGATTCAGCTGAAGAGCTGCGTACTGCTGACCTGAACTAAGGGCTTTTGCAATTGTGACCAAATTCATGTATTCAAAATACAATTCACCCTAACGGCCAAGCTGTAAAGTTCATGAACACTGGTACTGAATTTCCAGCTCTCCCGTTTTCTGAACATGCTCCTGCTAACCTGATTTGCAACATATTTCTCCCAACTTTCTCTTATTCTACAAATTTCTCATGATTTTTATGCAGCTTTGCTTAGTATTTCGTTTGCACCCAAAAAGTGATTTTTAACTTCTGTCTTTTATGTTAGTGGAAAAGTAAGACTCATGTACTTTTCAAAAATTGTACACAGAAGACTTTATTTCTGTTATTTCATCATAGAAATGTAATACATTTGTGATGTGTACTGTCTGTTATTGCGATTTTTTGATTGCATTAAAACAATTCTATTCTGCCTCTATCGATGAAAGCAATAATACCTGTGCAAAACTGTATCCAATTGTTTCTTTTTTTAATTCATTGTCTTCAAAATTTGAGTGTAGTTCACTTTCTGTCTCCATTTTAGAAGGAGATTTGATTGTTACAGTTAATTATTAATTCTTTTAAAAAAAGTAAAATTCTTCTGGATAATTATTTAGCACTTGGCGCTGACAGTACATTAGTAATGACATCTCAAAAGAAGAAAATTCGTATTTGAAAATCATGAGGTGTACCTGTCACCTCTTAAATTTAAAAGATCAGCATCTTTACCAATACATGGTGTTGAACACATTGTTGATAGTAGTTAAACTGAATCGAACATAACATTGGCTGTCATTCTGCCAAAACACTTAGGATCATCCACAAAGGGTGTGAATTTACATGCTTCAAAGATGAGAATTCACTTTTCTCCACAAAGAGGGAATTTAATATAGGGGAGAAAGTTCCCGTGTTGTCTTCGTGCCTTTATTTCATATTCACAGAAATAAATGCAATGCTGGAAACCTAAAATGTTGAAATTGAAGAATAAAATGATGCCTTCGATATACATGACAAACATTTGTTTAAACTAGGAAGACGTTGGACAGCAGAGTAGAAACATGATATTACATAGCGCTTAGCACTTCTCGCTTACATCCAATACTCACCATTGACTTTGGCTAACTGCGTATTAACTAAGTATAAGTATTACACAGCAGAGAACTTGCTTATCATGCACATGCGCTATGGGAATCGACGGCGGTTGCCAACATACCCCCTTTCGACGTTGATTCTCCTATTCCTGAAAAGTAAAACAAAATACATATTAAACAGTATTCAATCCTATAATTGTACAACAGTTTTGATGTTTAACAGGAGTTGGGGGTTTGGTTAACACATCAGCTCTCATTTCACTGGTAGGTATGTCCTGCACATCTAATTCACCGCGTTCATATACTTCACGCACAAAATGATGGCGAATGTCTATGTGCTTTGTAATTGGGTGAAACACTGAGTTCTTCGTAATTTTCTGTCCTCCTTGATTGTCGCAGTATATTGTTGTTGGGTGTTCTATGTTGTACCCCAGCTCCTTCAGGAAATGACGTAGTTAGACTGTTTCTTTGGCGGCCTCAGACAGAGCCATATATTCCACCTCCGTTGAAGATAGAGCTACACTGCGTTGTTTTTGTGATTCCCAGGTTATGACTGAACCACTCAATATATATACAAAACCGGTGTAGGATTTTTCTATCATCGACATTTGATGCCCAATCTGCATCCACAAAGGCGATGAGTGGTTTTCCTGTTTTCGTATAAATTAGTCCTTGATCTGGTGTCCCCTTTAGATATCAAAGTATTCTTTTCGCAGCATGCCAATGTTCTTTTCCCGGTTGTTGTTAAATTGACTTAAGAAATTCACGGCGTATGTGATATCTGGTCTAGTAGCTACTGAAAGGTACATTAGTGATCCGATCAGATTTCTAAATGGAACATTTTTCATGTCAGCGATTTTGTTTTCGTTTTTAGGACTCATCTCTTTTGATAATCATCTTTTGATATTATCAACGTATTTCTTTTGAGAAATTTTAATTGAATTCTCATTTTGGCGAAATTTTATGCCTAAGCAATAATGTAATTTCCCAAAGTCTTTCATTTTGAAAGCAGAAGCTAAACTATTGCGAATTGTTTCATACGTTTGCTTAGAATCGGTAAAAACGATAAGATCGTCTACATAAATGATTATAATAGTTTCACTGTTAGATGTCTTTTTAATATAAACACAATTATCTGAATTAAGAGATTTAAATTTCATACATTTTAATTTTTCATCCAACATTTTGTACCACTGATGTCCTGACTGTTTAAGACCGTATAATGATCTCTTTAAAAGACACACTTTATCTGAATTAGTTTCATCACGAAAACCTTCTTGAATTTCCATGTAGATTTCTTCATCTAAATTTCCATTTACATAGGCCATTACAAAATCTAATTGGTAACCTTTGAGATTGTGTTCTTATACTGCGTAGGCTAAAACTGTTCTTATGGAACTTAATCTAGCAACAGGGGAAAAGTTTTCAGTGAAATCAAGACCAGGGATTTGAGCGCACCCTTTAGCAACTAGCCTAGCTTTGTATGTTTAGATAGTGCCGTTGTGATTATATTTTAATTTAAGAACCCATTTACTACCAATAACTTTCTTGTTTTCAGGTCTTTTTACTAATTCCCAAGCCTTTTCTTGAACAAGCGCGTTATATTCTATAACAGCATGGCATTATGCCAGTTTTCAGCATATGGTCCATTTAATGCTCCTTGCACTGTAGGATTAATGCTTTCCTCAACAACATTTTGAGTTTGTTCATTTTTATTTACAACTGTATAGTGATATTCCTTTTTAGGCCTTCCTGGCAAACCTGTTTTTAGTTTCTTGGGTCGACCAGGCCCGCTTTTAATCAGGATAGGAAGCTTTGATTCGCTATCTAAATCACTTCCGCTTTCCTTTTCAGATTCAGAGTTAAGTGGCGACTCGCTACCATCCAGAGGTGATGATTCATCACAACATGTTTTATTTATAATTTTTTTCTTCGGAGCAAAAGGCAGATTTATTTCTTGCTCTGAGTCATAAGTACAGCAGTTTTCAAACTCATTAATAAATTTTACGTCTCTGCTTATTATCACTTTATGTGCTTCGGGATCCCAAAGTCTATACGCTTTTGATTCATCAGAATAGCCAATAAAAATACATTCTTTAGATCGAATATCAAATTTGCCTAATTAACTAAGTATAAGTATTATGCAGCAGAAAACTTGCTTATCATGCGCATGCGCTATGGGAATCGACGGCGGTTGCCAACAGAAATATTTTTTTCCCATAACATGAATTTTATGTGAACAGTTCATATTTCATTCCTTACTTTTAAAAGTAGGATCCCTAAAAATATCGAATTTTAATTTTTAGCAGAAATATTCTTTCTGTAGTTAAAAAAAAAAAAATCAAGTATTAATACCTGATTCTAACTATTGGTACTATTATCATAGTTTATTTAACGTGACATTTGCCAATATTGAGATTTTGTATGCAAGAATTATCATTCTTTTTTTCTTAAATAAATTTGGTTCCCACCCACACTTTAACTATGTTAAAAAAATGCATATAAAATTTTATCCAAAAAAAGTTATTTAATAATTTATTATCCTAAAATTATTATAACTAATTATTAGGTAATTTCTTTTTTTTTTTTTTTTCAATGTGTATTAATGTACATATATTTTCACTTAACCCTTTCAGTCCTAATGTGCACGCAAGTCCCAGAAATTAGATTTCATGCCCTATTGAGTAAATAAAACCCACTTTTAATTGGGTTTTTACATTTGAAGTGTTTTTAAGGAATTAAGGAACAAATATATGACTAAAAAAACCTGGTAATACTTTTAGATTGCAGATTGCGCACTTAATGTTTTTGAGCACACCGATTACTCAAGTTTCGATTTGTCAATTAAAAAAAAATTTTTTTACAGTAAGTACAGTTATATTTAAGGCATATTTAGTATGAAATCGTTCTTATTAAGTAGTAATTTAACATTTTTAATGTCAGATTTAAGAAATTTGGAATAAATTTTTTTGTGCAATATATTGTTCCAGTCATATTTAACAGTGGGTTAATATGTCCCATCAGTGATCAAATTACTACATGCTGATATATTATGTTTGTGTTTATGAAACATATATGAAAATTTTTGTTATATATGAACTAGTGCATGTGGCAGAGGTTACGCTTTGTAATATTCACATTATATATTACCATAAATTTTAGCTTTGTTTTCTAAGGAAGGGTAATATCTTGGACATTGGGACAGATAGCCCCAGTTGACAATACAGTTGAGACACATTGTCAGTGAAGATTTTCAGGAAATGGGAAAAGTTAAAAACTTTAAACTTGTATTACACTTCTTTTAGTATTTCTTTTAGTATGTCAACATTAAACTACTTTTCATAGTTAAATTTTAATCATGCAAAAGTCCGGTCAAAAGGGTTAATTATGAAAAAGATGTATAATAATTATTAATTATAGTATTATAGATTATTTATTATAAAATAATTGATCATTTATAATTAATTATATTAGAATTCATTTTAATGAAAATTATACATTATACAAAAAATGTAATTGAATAATTTTAATAAGTTATTATACAATAATAGTTAGTCAAAAGTCGTTAATCCGGACTCGTCAGGACTTCGGTGATTCCGGATTATCGATTTTTCCGGATTATAGATCATCAGTTTAAATCTGGTAGGATGGCATGCAGAAATTATAAAATTAAAAATAGAAAATCGTAATTTATGAAATAAAGAACAATTATGATCTGAAGGGTATCAAAATTTACAAAAAAAAAGCTTAATATTTATTTGTTTACTTTATTAAACATTTCTTTTAATGTAAGTTGTTTAGGTTGCTTCATTTTTTATGTGATAATACTTTCTGTTTAATTCTATAAACAGACATAATTTCTTGTTCAGTTACAAAGTTCCGTTGTTCAAGTCTTATAATTGCTGTGTCGAGAATACCGACTAATTTGTCAATCAAAATTTTTTCATCTTCAATAACCTCTGTGTCACTTTCTTCGCTATCGGAAGCGAATTATAATGACGAGGAATTTGATTTAAATCATATCAAAGACGGAGTACATCGAGATGAAATACTACATTTAGTAAGGAATTATAAGCCAAATAAAATAAAAAACATCTGCCCTGAAGATAAGGATAGTGCTGACAAATCAACTTCCAATTCATTGTGCGCCGCGGCGTCTCTCCCCCCCGGAATGGTTAGAGAAACAAAGGATATGCCTTTGTCCATTTTTTGCAGCAATTCCACTTTTTGTTTAATGGACTTCGAAACATACTTTTGCTTTGTAGATCCTTTACATATTAGTAAATATATCAGAAATTCTATTTGACATAATCGAAAGTTCAAGCTTACTTTTATAAAATTGCTCTAACAGTCTGCAAAAAAATAATAAACCGGATCCAATTCGAAGATTAAGGAACAACGCAATCTGCAACATTGACTGAATTAGATAATTATACCGTCCGTTATACATTAAACGCGCATTCGTAAACTTATTTTGCGCATGCTCACATGCATATTCACAGCCGTAAAGGTCAACGCGACGAATGCGCAGAAAGTTTGTAGCTTTTAGGCCCGGATTATCGGTGTCCGAATTAACGACTTTTGACTGTATTACACTTTATCATAAAATTGCGTGTGTCTATATGTATATAGACACGCAATTTTATGTATATCTATATGTATATAGACACACATCGGTATCAAAATTAAGCTTTAAAAATACTTTTATTTTTACCAATATATAAATAAATATATAAATGCACAAAATTAAATGCAATGTTATCAAATAATCAGTTACAAATCATGATTAGCATATTATCTTAAATTACTTGAAAGTAATTTTCGCCATCCTTATATCAGTCCTCTTTGAACGCAGTGAAAATAAACAGAGCAAATAAAAAAAATCCCTGCTACCTAATTCGTATTCCATCCATCCTGTTTCTTCAATAAATTGGCCCGAATGGCATAACCGTGTTTGTGCTGTTCGTTCTTGTGGCCGCACAGTTAAACTAAATTATTATATTGAATTCTGAAAAGAAGGAAAAATTGAAACAACTCCAACAGCTGCATTATACTTAAATAAAATTTTTTAAACATGAATGTACATGCTGTTAATCTTTGGAGAAATGTTTATCTAGAATCCTCAACCAATGGAACCCACTTCTTATGCTTTTTAAGAAAGAAGTAAGTGTCTTTAGAGTTAAGATAAAAGACTAATGAAAGTTATGAAATGCCTAAAGTAAATGGAAATGTAGTTACTATTTCCACTGTTAAAAAAAGTTATGACCAAAAAGTAATTTCCGCACCTGTGAGCAATTTGACTGGCAGTTCTCATTTTGCCATCATTCCTTGTTTTTAGTTTTGCAAAGCAGAATTCCATTAATTCATGTTTGCAATAAATGGTTTATGTTTGACGACATTTTCATCAAAGTTCGTAAAATCAAACTTTGTTTTTTTATTCTACATATATGATTTATGGTGAAATAGAAAATCAAAAGAAGGATAAAGATTTGGTAATAGGAGCTGCAACTGAAAAAGTAGTGAAAGACTTTTGATAGGAAGACAAAAATAAGTTTTATATCCGTGTTAGAAGCAACTTCTGCCGAGTATGTGATTGTGAACTACATAAATTTATAATCAATGTCACCTCATCGTTTCTATGCTATGGCCATCTAAAAGTTTATTAGCTCAAGTTATTCTCGGATAGCACTAGTGTGCGGGAGCTTCCCAAAAAAATGCAAACTTCATCGAGTTAAGATATTGAACTGCGAAAATAACCTATTTCTGTTTCATTTTTATAACAACAGTTTTATCCAGTTCTGAAAAGAGTCTAACTAAATAGAAAGTAATAATATAAAAAGCAACTGATATATAAATGCAAAGTTTTAAACAAGATTTTCACAAAATGATAAATGACGCCAGCAGCGTCCCATTACATCAGGAATACTAGTGAAGGGGCGGATTATCATATGTGCTGAACCACTGAAAGGTGGACAATCAGTTTTTACTTTATCAGCAATCATTAAACATTAGCGTGCTTTAGGATATTTTTCTCAAAAAAGATTTTCCCTTATATTGTATATTTCAGTGACTGTTGTAGTCAAAGTAATAAATGCATTCTGTATAATGTGATAAAATAATGGAAACAAAAGCTGTAACATTATCAGGTGTTTCAAGGTTCAAATTTTGTATGTATTTGTGCTAGGAGGTAGAGTAAACCTTTGCTGAATGAATATATGGATTACCTGAATTGTTTCTATTAATTTGTCCAACAGTAGAATTTTAAGCAATGGGCGATTTTCAGCTATGGAAAAATAAGTCAAAGGATTAATTGAGAAATGACGAATGAAGAACTGGAGGATTTTATAACACTAGCTGATTGTGAAAGCAATGATAATGAAGAAGATAATAAGGACTTAATTGACTGAAAGTTAAATGTCTTTGCTAAAAAGGGCACAGGAACTATCTGATTTTGCATTGGAGATTGAACCAAATGTAGAAAGCAGAAGAGAGTTTTTGAGAGGCATTGCTCCTTACCGTGAAACCTTTAGAGGATCTGTCATTGTCCTGAGCAAAAATTATAAGATTTTTTTTAAAGTAATTTTATCATGTGAACAGTAATAAAAATCCTTTCAATTAATATATGTTTTGTTTTACTTTTTCCTTTTAATTGCATTGCTATTTAGATTTGTTTAAATTATGCATACTTCCTTAACCCTTTCGTCGTACTCTCCTGTTTCTGAAAATTTCTCCCCAGCGGCCGTCTGTTTTTCGTAGCATGTAATGTTGTTTTCTTCTCTGTGCATCATAACTTTCCATACCTAACTTTCGTAGTGGATGAATGTCGATGAATATTAAGTAAAATTATATGGAAATAGAGCATAATGGAAAAATAATAATATCTCTGCTTATTTCTAAAAGCAGGATAATTTGATAACATCTGATGCAGGTGGTCTAACTCCTCTCATTTTGTTGTTGTAATCTTTTACAATTATTGTTTTTTTTTTTACAGTTCTTTTCTGTGTTCCAACATTAATCATCAAGTTATTATGGACTGTACTCATCAAACGTATATCTTTGTCTTTCCAATTCACAACCTCATGTTTTCTCTTTTTCTGCTGAGTAGACATTGAAGCCATCTCTCACTGCCTTGTATCTTATGTAAAATGGCGCAAATAGCAAATATTCATAAAACCTGGGGCAAATTTAATTAGAAATAGAATGCCTGATTAGTGCTGTCCTCTAGGAGGTATTAGAACAAACAAAAATAAAAACTCAAACAAGTAAACGTTTAGAAAGCGTTTTAAAATGTAGAAGTACACTTGAACTCGTTATGGACGACGAAGAGGTTAACACAGTTTTCCCATAGAAAGTTAACTTTGAGAAACTCGGTTTTGCCATGTGCACAATGTATTATTGATGTAGCGTCCATGTTCAAAAAAGGTTTAGTGTTATTAGAAACCTTTCTGAGTTAACTAAAAATCTGTACTATTCTATAACATAAGACCTTTGAGAAGAGATTAAGTTATTTTAAGTAGCACGTTTTGACCTATTTTATGGTAGTTTTGGTGTTTATTTTTATTTATTATAGAAGTAATTTTATAATTATATTTGTAATAATCTTTTTTTTTTTTTTCCAGAACATCTCCATTACCTGATATTAGATTTTCAGCCTGTTCTTCTGCAACCACGTGGGCTTATTAACAGGAGAAACTGGTGTTATATAAATGCTGTATCCTTTTGCATGTATCATTTCTTTTAGTGCAGTTTTGTTCTGAAATGCAGCAATAGTAATTATTAATTGTTCATCGTCTGAGGGCTATATTTGGAATTTAAATTAAGAAAATACTAGAGGATCTAAAAGAATAAAAAATTATAATGTTAGGAATGTGCTACCTAATAATGAAAATACGTATAATATAGGTTTAATAAACAGAACTTGTTTACTTTCCTAGTTTCATCAGGAGACTTCTGATTTTTTATCTCATTTCCCGTTTTTATATTGAATTTAAAATCAAATTTAATGGAAATTATTTATTTTTAATTTGATGTCTCTGTGAAACTTAATTGTGCAAGGTTAAATTTTTTCTCCATTCCATTTTTTTATTTTATTTGATCTCTCTGTTTTTGATACATAATGAAAGTTTGTAAAGCATTTTATGAAGGACAAACTAACATTGAATAATTAAATTGAATAATTGAATAATTTTCCTTTAATTGAATAATTTTCCTTTAAATCTTAAGTTGTATGTTACTAAATTTATTCATGATTATTTTAATAACCAATTTAAATTCTAAATGACATTTTAAAGCATTTTAATCAATTTAAATGACATTTTAAAGCATTTTAAGTTTCTTTCTTGCATGAGTTTTCCTTTTAAAGAAAATCCAAAAATTGAATGAAATTTACCCCCCCCCCCAAAAAAAAAAAAAAAAAAACAAAGAGTAAAATTTAGAGTAATGAATTACCGTATTTTTACCTCAGAATCATGTTGTAAAAGTTAATAATCTAAATAATGCATTATAAAGTGATCTCAAGTTTTTCAGTTTGATAGAAACGTGAAATGTTCATCTGAGTTTTGATAGAATTTATCAGATCTTGTGGAACTACACACTGCTCTTCTAAAAATGCACTTTTCAAATTATGAGTGGTCAGGGAAGACTTTAATGTACACAAAATGTCTGCTTTATTAAACTTTTTTCCACTTAGGAGAGTTATATGAAAGTACTGATTTAAAAAATTGCTTAACTTGAATTTAGACATTACAAGCACTTTTAGCATGCCCTCCATTTTTTACATTATTGAGGAATCTTCCTCTGGGACCAGGAGTGGAACGTGGAAAATCATCAACACCTGTTATCGATAGCATGTAAGTTAATCCAGTATGAATAAATTCTTATCTCTAGTGATTATTGTATATTAAACGTGAATTAATAGCAGTTGTAGTATATCATTAAAACATATTATGCTTTATATGTTTTCTATTTTCTTATGTGCTTATAATTAAATATTATTTTTTCAATTGAAAAACTCACCTTTATTTGTTATTGATTTCAAATACAGGGGTGCTCCCTCTATTTTTGATCATAACTTCACACCAAACTGATTTGCAATGTATGTCTCTGGACTTCTTATTATTCTTAAAATATCTCATGATTTTTATGTAGCCTGGTTTAATATTCATCATTTACACTCAAAAACAAAATTTCTGGCACCTAAAATAACTTTGTTTCTTAAAAATGTGACGAAATAATGACTGTACTTCTAGTTATTAAACCTCTGACTGCTCAATGTTTTAATCAAAATTACTTAAAAAATACGTTTTTTACTACAAACTTCAAATCTGCATACATTTTAGAATTAAAATATATAGCATGTTTTTGTAACAAATCATTAGAATAGATTTTCAGAAAAACAATTTTTAGACTTCATCGTATAAAAAAAAATTCTGATAATTCGTAATTAAATTTGATTATATTCCTAATTATTTTATAAAATACAAATATATGTATACTGGTAAAAATATTACATATTTATGCAAATTACATTAGAAATTTAGTGTGGTAAATCTGTAAACAAGTTTCAAGCAAAGTCTTTGAGAGTTTTGTTCATAGCACTGTATTAAGATTTACTTGGAAATCTTTTTTGGGGGGAAGTGCATTTTTTTAGCAACAAACAGCACAAGGCTACTTTTTATGGGATTAATAAGTATATGGCTTGTAAAATAATGAGCTGTCAGTCTCAGAGGTTTGAAAGTAGAATCAAGTTTTCCACATATATCACTTGAGTCTTCATTTCAATACTGTTAGATACTTTGCTAGATATATGAAACTCCAGAGCCTCTTTTTTTCATTGGATTGTGTTTTATAAAGTACATAGGCATTCCACAGTTCCAGAATTGTTTTAAAAAATTATATATATTGATTTTTTGAAGTTAGGGTAATGTTACTTTTTTGTAAAAATCAGCATCACTCATTGTATTAATCACAGTTGCCAACTCTTGCAGTTTTCTTCTATTTTCATTTTACCAAGTGAGGATTTGCTACATCAGGTATGGTGTCCTCGGGGGCTCACACTTTGTCAGTACGAGTGTAGCAATCGTGAAGTATTCTATCCCTTCAGCGGATCATCATTTTGCTGAGATGGGTGTCATGATCCCAGAGACCCAATGATCTTTCCCCTTTTTATATTCCTCTCCTGTTTTATACTACTATCATCTTTAGCTTCTGCCCTGTGGTTCCTCGCTTTAGAGGTTGGGCTCTCCTTGAGATGTTACCATTCAAAACTAGTCTCAAGTGGCAAGAAAACTGCCCATGTGTTTGCCGTGCACAGAGACCTGTGTCATTGGAAAGGAGGGTCCTGGTAGTTGAGGATCAAGGTACTGTCCATAGCACAATGCTTTGCCTCTGCTTCAGGTAAAAAAAGGCACTTTTTCATCCTCAAGAGTGTCAGTGGTTTGGGGATAAGCTTCCTAGAATTCCTGCTTTCAGGAAAGTTGACTTTGGGGCTTCAGAAGACATGTTGCTTAGTGCTTCTTTAAATTCTAAAAATTTTGCCTTCCTTAAATTCTGCTACCCCGTACGGCTGCACAAACTGTAATGTTGGGCCTGGGTTTAACTGAATAACAAATCAGTTATTCTTAATTTAAACAGCACTAAATGCAACCTTTTTACTTATGAGTATCATTTACAAAATCTATTTTTAGCATATGGAAAGAAATGTTGGTACTATTCCATTTTGAGGACCGTAAAAAATTTGCAGTGAAAATGTATGCGCAAAAACGCCAAAGCTAGCAAACATGCCCATTTAACAGTGCGCCAAATCTAGCATATGCGCTGATTTCAGATTGCATAAGTTTATATAGTTCTGTATTTCTTAAGACGCAACTGAAATACTAGTTTAATTTTTAAATCCTTTTTTGATATCCTATGGATTTAACAATTTGGGAATTGCCCGTGATGAAAAGTCTACAATAGAATTTTGGGTAAAGTGCAGAATCACCCACTGCTTGACACGTTTTTAAGAATTGCATGTACTCGGTATCCATGTACACATCGACCTATTTTCACTTTTTTAAAAAAAATCCCAGGATTGCACAAAAATGGCACTGCACACACCCTTGACTTTATTTATGCACACGTCGACCTATTTTTACTTAAAAAGCAAAAGAAAATTGACAAAAATCCAATTTTTTTACTTTTGTAAAAATCAGCAAACAAATAAGTGGGCGATTCTGCACTTTACCGAGAATTTTTTCGGTAAAGTGCAGAGAAAAGGCATCATTCGTTATAGAAAATTATGTTTGAACAATCAACGAGATGAAATTATGCTTTAGCGATAACTCTGTAGCGAAATAGCAATGCAGGCATCCATTCAGTTATGTTTAGCAATTTTTATATAAATTATAATAATGATATGAAATAGTTATTTACTCTTATGCTTCCATTCAGTCATGTTTAACCTTTTTAATATAAATTCTAATAATAAAAAGGATTATAGGAAATTAACCTTTCATGTAAATTAAAACTTCAGTCTTGGATAGTTATTTACTATTATACTTCCTTTCTTGCGTTAGGGTTGCCGCAATTAATTTAGGCAGCACTGGCATCAACAATAGTTTGGCGATTTTTTTATGGCCCTCAAAACCGAATAGTGCCGAAATTTCATTTAAATTTCTCCTCGTCAACACACACATTTCCCGGTGCAGTTTACTGAAGTCTGTAATCATCACCATGCATAATGTTAGTATAAAAGGTTGCCATGCTTTCTTTGATATTCAGTTTTTTAAAAAAATATTTAGAAATTGCTGCATGATTCATTTTTCAAGCTACCATGTGTTCATAGTCATGCAGTGATGAAAGCAAAAAATAATAATGATTTGCCAGGTTGAGATCGGATATAAATTATTCAGTAGGCTAACATCAGCAATGTTTCAGTTTGAGATGCAAAAGGCCAGGTATGGAGCCAAATTATTGATCAGATTGATTTATGATAATAAATTGTTTCTTCAGTTTAGAGGGGGGGGGGTTAGTGCCAAAGTGAAATTAAGAACCAGGACTCTAATTTTGAAAAATATCAAATTCACCTGCATAAAGCATATATGTGGGTGGGGAGGAAAGGTTGCTAGAGGTCTGGATTTTATATCATTTCAGATTAGACTTTCAGACATTATACTGTATATTTTTTACCATTTAAAGTTATTTTGGTTATTCAAGCAACTTTCCCAGTTTTTGAATTTGTTCATTGGCACCTCTGCAGATGCTTTAATATGAATGCTAGAAAATTTACATTCATTTTTTCCTTTCTTTTATATTGGATTTATAAATAACAGGTAAAATTTTGTGTCTTCCAAATGTTTTAGCACAGTTGAACGCATACTTTTACAAGCTTTGCAGCAAGGTTACAATTTTATTATTTTTTATTTATGTTAGGGTTAAAGTTGCATATGAATTCTCTCAGTACCAGTCTCCACAAGAAGAGCTACAGCTTGGAACACCATTTCAACCTGATTTTATGTATGATATGCTGCGCGATCTAAAATCTGACTGTCTGAAGGTTAGTAGGAAAAGATTATTTTTGTATTTTCAAGTCTCATTTATACATCACATTTATTGATCGCATGTAACCGTATAATCACATTTAGCTTTTTTCTTTTATAGGGCCAGCAAGAAGATGCTGAAGAATTTTTAAGTTTTATATTAAATGGTATGCATGAAGAAATGGTAAAAATAATCAAGAACTATGAAAGAAAAAATCATATTGAGTGTAAGTATAGATTTTCCTTTTCAGATTCTGCCATTAATCCATTTGTAATGTACGTATGTACGTATATATCAGTTCTCTTATACACTGCTGGCATTAAAATTGCTGCATCGTGAAGAAAGAATTGAGCTATTTTTCTTAACAGTGAAATATAAAATAAGTCAAACTTTACAAAACCTCATTTATAAATTCATCTTTTTTGAAAATTAAAATTGATCTTAAAAAGTTAGAATTTTACATGTTTCCACCTTATATAAAATCATTTTCTAGCAGCATACTACTGTCAGGACGTTATCATCTCTGATAAAAAAAATTAGACTGATAATTATACTTCATGAACTCCTATATTATGAATTCCTGTTAGAAGTGAATTAGTTCAGAAAAGTGAAGTATTCTTCTACTTATCATTTAACTTGAGCTTGATTTACTTATTTTTTATGCCATCTGTTTTATTTCTAGTGTGTAATGACAATGATATAAGAGAGAATGGAGATGTAAGTGAAGGTGAAGAAGAATGGCAAGTAATTGGCTCTAAACATAAAGGAATGGTTACAAGAAAGGTAAATTAAATTTGGATTTTTTTTTTAACTTTTTTTTTTTTTTTTTTTTTTTTCCAATGGCAGATTTTGAACAGTTACAGTTTTGTAACAAAATCCATTAATTTATACTAAGGCCAGATGTGGTGGTCTCTTTATTATGGAAGCACCTAATAGGTGGATCACCATTGTCTCTTATGAAGGGATGGACAGTTACAAACATGCCTTCTCCGGGATTTTCTTTTGTGCATGTATTTGGCATAGTCTAAATATTGTATGCGTTAAATAATTAAAAACCAGAATTTAGAAAACTAGCTGAAATGTATCTAAAGTATCAAAAGAATAACATATGAGCTTTATAAAAATTAGTTTATTGGCTGGTAATGTATAATACTTGGTTATTAACCAGGTACAGAATGGTTGTGATAAATCACTAAATTTCTCATGCATTTTCTTGTAATTATTACTGTCTACAACAGTGCAGTTTGAGATTATAAGATCTCACATTATGTTTTTGAGAGGTGACTAAATTGGGGTGCCATAAGAGCAGAATCTTTAAAGAGAAGTGGACATTCATACTTCATGGAAGAACTTCAAACATTATAATAGAAGAGAAACACGCCAAGGTGACAATCAAAATCGCAGTAACAACCTTGTATTTAGCGTACATATATTAAAACACTCAATCGATTTCTAAAGCTCCCTCCTCATCAGGAGAACGAACTTACTAGAAAAGGGAAAAAAGAAGAAAAATAAAGCATCGGCAAAGGAGTCTCAGAAACACGTGGTCGTAACCGGACTTTGAATCAGAGTTACACTGGCCGCCTACTTTTTCTGAGCCAGGCCACCTTATAAAACATATAGCACATAGACTAAAATGCAAAAAAGTCAGCAAGGTCCAAAAATAGGAAGCGAGGGGCAACTGCACCTTCACGCACCAAGTCTGAACCTCAAATAAAGGGAAAGCAACCTCTGTAACGGCTTTTTATACCCTCCGGTAGAACCATGCATGAGGAGGCAACGCCATCTATCGGCAAAAGTAATAACCAAGAATTATCTTAATAGAATTTTAAAAGCATTAAGAAGGACTAGGTTAGACTTAAAATCATTCACTAAACATGCTAAATCTTTGTGAATATGAAAAACCTCAAGAAAATCCAATTCACCAACGGAAGAAGCCTTTTGGATAATTTTTGCAAATCCAAACAAATTATGCACAAAATTATTGCAAACAAATTTGCAAATCCAACAAAATTATGATTAAATTTCCAACTATGATATGCTATTGAAGACTTGCTAATTTCGCCCAAGATTCATGTTCCTTGATACGAAACTTTTCACGCCCTTTTTATTTGGCCAATATATCTCAAGCCGCACTGACATGATATACTATAAATTCCCCCAAAATCAGAAACGCAATCTATTAGAATTGAACCATGAATTGAAAGCGGAGAAACTGACTTGAAAATTGAATTTCTGGAGAATCCGTGCAACTTTATAACTAACAGAAAGACAAACTGGAAGCACGACAAGGTCATTAATATTATTTCTAACAGTGGAATGTCTTCTTTGATGGGAATCTGAAAATTTTTAACTGCTTTCAAATAATTAAGTTCATTAAAAAGCAAAGATTTTGAGGAACAAACTTTGAGCGCACGAAATACATAATAGTAAAAAGAAGCCTTTTTTGCTTAACAGGGTGGCATGACTTAGCAAGGGGTGGTAAACAAACTGCAAAAGTTTACGGTACACAATAGTGCTAAAATCAATTTCATTGAGGATTATAAGAATATCAAGGAAAGGGAGGGAATTGTTGGATTCAATTTCAAGAGTGAATTGGATGGCTGGATCAACTGAATTTATGATAAAATCTCGGATAAATCTTCTTTATTACCATCAAAAAGCGTGAAAGTGTCGTCTATATACCGAATCCAGAGATGAAAAAATAGTTTATCAAATAATTTCACCTCATGATGACCTTTGAATTGAAGACGAGAAATGCATTGCCAGTTATATTTAAAAAAAATGCAGTGCTGGCTAAAATTTAATGCACTTGAATAACATATGTTTATAGTAAAAGGAGGGCATTCAGTAGCTTAGAATGTTGAGTTGTTCTCCATGATAGCTATTCCTTTCAAAATGTAAAATTCTTGTTGTTACTTTTAGACTCAGAATTCGTGTAAAATAATATTTTTATTTGCATTTATTTGATGTGTATTAAAAATGAAAAGTATTTTTTATAATTTATTATGTATTTTGATATTAGATTTAAAACACAGAAAAGTTTAAATTAAAACGTGAAAAATGTTCTGTAGGTTGCTGAACATAAAACGCCTATCTCTGACCTTCTGGGTGGACAAATAAAGTCTTTTCTGACAACAAGTGGAAATAAAACTTCTGCATCCATCCAGCCTTTCTTCACTTTACAACTAGATATTCAAGTAAGTTTTCTCCTTATTATGGGTAAATTCTTGGTAAATTTACTTTTAACAATTGGGTAAACATTTCATTTTTTTCTTTTTAGTCAGAAAATGTCTCTTCAGTATCTGAAGCACTGAAAGAGATGACAGTTAAAGAACCAATTCAAGGATATACATGTGCCAAGACAAAGCAAGAAGTATCATTCCCCCTTTTTTTTAACATAATAATGCCTTTTTTTCTCTTTTGTGTGTGTGTAAATTACGTTTACTAGCAAAAAGCAGAACTATCCAAAATCAGCATGTTTACATAAATCAAACTGCACATCCATACCAAACCATGTAAGAATTTTTACATAAACCAAAATCAGCATGGTTTCAAACTCAAACTGCATGCAAGTCGAATGCATGATCTGAAAATAGCTTGAAGGGCTGGGAGGGGGAATTTTTTTTGTTAACAAAATAAAAAATATTTTAACTAAATTTTGTTTCATTTATTAAGCATTTAACAGTGCATATATAAATAATAATAATAATGGGAAAAAATTTATATTTATTTTCTATCTGAAATCTTAAGTCTTTTTGTTGGTTATACTTAGCAATTTAAGCACACTGAGAGCTAAATATCAGCATTTATTTCAAATACTTCTAATACAGTCAAAAGTCGTTAATCCGACTCGTCGGGACTTCCGTGATTCCGGATTATAGATCATCAGTTTAAATCTGGTAAGATGGCATGCAGAAATTACAAAATTAAAAATATGAAACAGTAATTTATGAAATAAAGAACAATTATAATCTAAAGGGTATCAAAATTTACAAAAAGAAAAAGCTTAATATTTATTTGTTTACTTTATTAAACATTTCTTTCAATGTAAGTTGCTTCGTTTCAAGTGATAATACTTTCTCTAATTCTATTAAACAGACATAATTTCTTGTTTAGTTACAAAGTTCTGCGGTTCAAGTAATATAATTGCTGTGTTTAGAATACCGACTAATTTGTCAATCGAAATGTTTTCGTTTTCAATAACCTCTGGGTCACTTTCTTCACTATCGGAAGCAAATTCTAATGACGAGGAACTTGATTTAAATCATATCAAAGACAGAGTACATCCAAATGAAATACTACGCAAATAAAATAAAAACATCTGCCCTGAAGATAAGGATAGTGCTGACAGATCAACTTCCAAAATTGATAAACAGATTTCGGATTTCGAAACATACTTTCGCTTTGTAGATACAAATTACATATTACTAAATATATATCGGAAATTCTATTTGACATAATCGAAAGTTCAAGCTTACTTTTATGAAATTGCTCTAACAGTCTGCAAAAAATAATAAGCCGGATCCAATTCGAAGATTAAGAAACAATGCAATCTGCAACATTAACTGAATTAGATAATTTTAGCTTAGCTTGCACCATCCGTTACACATTAAACGCACATGCGCACAAACATATTCGCAGCCGTAAAGGTCTTGCGCGCACTCGTAAACGCCTGTGCGCATGCGTGAATGCGACGCATGCGCAGAAAGTTTGTAGCTTTGAGGTCCGGGTTATAGATCATTCCGGATTATGGGTGTCCGAATTAACGACTTTTGACTGTATTTTAAATTAATTGATGAATAAATTACTTTAATTTAAACTAAAATTTAAGGATAAATAATGACAACCTCATCTTTTTCTGTTATTCATTAGACTTTGGCACATAAATTAAAATAATATATTTGTATGCAAATAACTGTAAACTTCTTTATTTCATGCTATAATTTCGATATGAACACAAAGTATGGCATTTCGATATTAACACTGCAGGTTTTGAAGTCTTCGTTTCAGCACCAGCCCTGCGATAATATAATACAGCATTCTTTTATTTAGCGATTAGTTTTTATCATATTTTTCCATTATGAGGAAAACTGTGAAATGGACCAAAAATTCTTTTAAATTGCACATTGTTCAATGCATATAGATTATATGTTGAGTTCAATGGCAACACTATAAAATATCAAAAATTTTTACATGCTGTTGTTGCACATTTATGGATCGAGGAATATACAAGTACTCAAGATGTATCGAATGTTTGTGTGGAACAATCTTCTGTATTAGTTCACCTCGCACATCAAAATATGATCACCGTCAGAGACTATCAGGTGATATATCGGGCATACGTTACTCAAATTATTGGACAGCACTCGTCGGTCTCTATCTCCCAGTTTCGTTGATCTGCCAACTCGGGGCACATTCCGACAATCACCGCTCACCTTCCACTTCTTAATCACATACGCCACTGTCGATTTTGGGTACTTCAGATCGCTAGATATGTCCCTTAAGAATCGGCCACATTTGTGATACCTGATAGTTATACCTTTCTCGAAATCAGAAAGCTCCGAACTGCGAGGCATCTTGCATGCGACTAAAGCCGATGCTGTTTCCTACATGACATATATCGGCGGAGACCGTGATGTACCTTAGGACCGCAGATATCGTCATTTGCATAGGTGTCCAAATACTTATTGTTAGTCAGTGTATACTAGCCTTATTGCTATAGCGACCGCCACCCGCCAGACACTGTGGCGGGAGCTGTATTTTTCTTAGAAAGATAGTATGCATCTATATACGTACATATACACTTGCATAATGCATTGTTTTCTGAATCCAGTCCCAATAATAGAAGAGTACCCTTTTATTTCCCTCTGCTGTAAGCATCGTTCACTTGTTTTATCATCACAAGCAGATGAGTTTCATGACAGCCTGATAGTGGCATAGGTTTTATCATATCAACATTTCTTTTGCAATCCCAGTAATTGTTATTTCTTTTTGACATCGTGATTGGAACTCCCTAAGTATCATTTCTTTTCACAGTCGATTCTACCGAATTTTAAACATAAAATAAAATCTTTGCTATAGACAGATTTCATATACATATTTATTATGCAGTGTTAAATAACTGCCCACTTTGGAAAATAGTAGTTGATATTATGTTGCTTTCGAAGTCCTAAACTAATATAAAAAATGAGCATTTTAAAATTTTACTTCTAATTCTTTGGGAGGAAAACATTCCTGTAGTTTAAAATGTAATTTAACATATGTTATATTGTTGTTCTCATTTTATATTAACTGTCATTCTGTACTCTCAATATTAACTGTTATTCTCAAAACATGCTTTTGCATTGTTTCATGCTTTTGCATTCTCAAAACATGCTTTTGCATTCATTTGAATTTGTTGCCATTTTGGGAAATCTATATATCTTTCGATTTTATGTGTGTTGTTGATTAACAAACTAAGCTATTTAACCTCTTCGCGACGGGCGAATCATATATGCATTTCGTACGGACGCATGTGAGGCCCGGGTGGTTCACCCGTGCACTCCTGGAGAACTGGCCAAGTGAACGGGCAGTGCAGATATGCATTTTAAGCTGAAACAATTTTTAATAGCCACTAGATGGCACTCTGTGTCCATTACATTTAAACTGAACATAGTTTTAGCATTCTGACCTTCAGATTGTTTATATTCTGGCTGTTTTTGGTATTTTGCTTGTCAGCTGTGGCTGGGGAGGGGGGAAATCGTAATGTAAACAAACGCAGGGCTCTTTAAATCCCTGGGTGCTAATGAAAACATTCTCAACATTCTGGTGCTAATGAAAACATTCTGGTGCTAATGAAAACATTCTCGTATCTGATTTATATCCAATTCCTTTTTTATTCTATTTTTTTCCTATACTTTTTACAGTCTTTTAGGGTTACTGTGCAGAGTTTTTTTACGTTTTGCATTGCCTTCAGATATATTTCCGTTCCTTCTTTTTTTATTTAGGAAAGCCTCACCTCCAGTCTATTATGACAGGAAGGAGGCGCTATTTATCAGAGGAAGAATACCCTAGTATGGTTAGTGAACCATTTACTAATGCAAATGAGAGTACTGATTCATTTTCTAAGGAGTTAAAAAGTGATACTTTTTCTAAGAGTTACAAGGTGATACTTCACTGTGCTTCGAAATTTACCACGCTCGTTTTCATTTTAAATTTTGTTACTTCTTACTGTAAATAGTCTTTATTGTGTTCTTTTTAATAATTTTAAACTTTATTGATGGATTTTATCAATTAAAACTTTAGAATAATTTGAATAGCTCTTCCGAAAAGTATTATGGAAGATAAGCAATTTTTTAAGTATATTTCCATGTAAAATAAAGAAATAAATGTTTTAAGGGCTAATTTTAACATATATAAGAGCTCAAGTAATAATCTAAAATGATACCAAAAATTACGATGCTAGAAGCGAAACTTTTGTTTTCCTGATTTTTGTTAGGCTTAACGATGCAAAACCTCCGTCCTGTACGGTGACTGCCTTCGATTCTCTTCCATCCCGCACAAGCGTTTTAAACAAAGGTGCGCCGTCGCGAAAAGGTTAAAAGCAATAGGTACATATCTTGAAGAATATATATTTAAAAATATTTTAATTTGATTTAATTAAAAAGCATTTAATTCATGGTAAATCATATTAAAAACATTAAATATTTTTATTTACGTTTATTATTACATTATATTTTTTCCACTTTCAAACATAGGTGATATAAAGTATATGTCATCTAGTATCTATGTATAGTCATCTAGTATCATATAAAATATTCTTCTGTTCTATTTGGGCCATGTACGTTGTTAACCTCTTCTGATATTAAACAATATTAAACTTCAAAAAAGTCCTTTTGTGCAACCATTAAAATATGAACCCTTTCAGGTTTTTAACATTAATTAATATACTTTATATTAATATATTTTAATTGATATATTACATTTTATTAATATATTTTTACACATTGTTTATTTAAACGTTACTTAATAGTATAAAATTTCTATCGTTGATTGATATTTTGACAGTATATTAAAATGCATACACACTGATATTATTACATTATGTTTTTCAAAGAACTAACGAATTTTCATAACATTTTTTTTTTAACTCGCACAAAATAATTTCCTGTTTTGTATGTACATTTTAACTGTTACCATAAATGAGAAGTTTCTAAATCATATGCTGGGAAAACTTGAGAGGGAGGGAATATGCAAGGTAAATACAATAATTCTTTTAGCAAAATTGCAGAATATGTAGTTATTTGGTGCAAAGAAATCCCATTTTACTGTATAATTTGCCATTATTAATGAAACTGCATAAATTAAACTCGCTTTTTATTCTATAATATACTTTTTATGCATTTATTTTCTTATATCGAACCACTGACAGGAGATGCTTTTGATTTGCATTTCTAATATAAGAGAACGAATAATAGAACATTTCTGGATTTTAATAATTTTAATAGTAATTAACATGTTAAAGTTTCTTTTCTTGAAGATATTTTTTCTGAAATGTAAAATTAACTTACAAACTGAATTCTTGAATGTTTTATCCATGTGCAGTGGAATATGTGCACTGCAGATAAAACATTAGAAAATTCCAGTTGTAATTTGGGGAATGCTCTGTTTAAATTATTTTTTGGAAGGATTAAGTACCAAAGTGCATACTTATCAATACATAATGCATACTTGTCAAGTAGTTAATGTCTACAATATGGCATCTTACATCATTTCATTCACTATGACAGTGAAAAATTAATTTAAATATACGAATGATCGTACTATGGGTAAAATCAGAAAGGTTATTCTTATGTGTGTAGTAATGTAATATTTTCTTTTTGTGATGCACACATTTTTTTTTTAGAAAGAATCAGTCTTTATTATTTTGAGAAAAAGACAAATTGTGGTGGGAGTGCACATATTAAAAAATCTAACATTTTTACTACAGTTTTTAGCATTTTTGGAAATAAGTGTACATTTTAAAGTATTTGAAACACAAATTTAAATGATTTTTACTTTGTATTTTATAGAATAACATACTATTTTCTTCTCCAGGTTGAAGCTTACAGTCATATATCACTGCAGAAATTACCGCCAATATTAATACTTCATCTTAAACGATTTGTGTATAATAAAAATGGTGGATGTAAAAAAGTGATGAAAAAAACAGACTACCCTATACAACTGGAGTTGAGTAAAGGTATTTAAAAAATGTCATTTTCATCTAAACTTTTATAAATTTTGTAAATATTTGTTACACGTTTACATCTTTCATTTAAGTAAAGTAATTTTCCATCTTGGAGAAATTTTGTGTTTGATAAATATTTGCTGAATTTGTTTTATGCCAGTCATGCAAAGTAGATAAAATAGCTATAAATAATAAGAACACAGAATTATAAATGGAGGTTAAATGCATTAATTGTGGTATCTTCCATTCTCCATGTATTTTGTAGCAATGCATTGCTTTTGAATAAAATAAAAATTTGGAAATTATCTGCTATTGCGGATGTATTGAAATGTCTATTTGAATACTGCTGAATTTTGGAATATTTAATTCTGATTTTTCAGCAGCAGCTGCAATTAAGTATTCTCTTATTTAGCAGTTTCAGAAAATTTATATATTATATGCACAGTTTAAATTTAGTTTCAGGATTTACAACATTCATTCTCAATAATCTATGAAGATAAAGATAGCAAATTGTGCTTACCTTTTCATGCATCTGTTCATCAGCGCTATTAAATCTCCGAAACTATTATTGTTATGAGGAATGTATTCATTAATAATAGAATGCAGATTTAAATAAATCACCTTTATTCAGCCATAACTAAATTAATATAAAGTGACAGGTACATTAATGTTGCATACAAGCACATGCGAAAGCTTAATAATAAAAAAAAACAAAAGGATCGTGGGATATAATTGGATGTGATTGATGAGATTGGCACGCATGTGCCTTGGCATTTCTTGGGTTACTAGAAGGGAGTTGAAAAAACATTTTCTTCTCAGATGCCTGATTAATTTACAACAGTGTATTGTTAAAAATATGGACACATACCATTAACGCATTGAGCAGCACGTCGACCACTGGTGGCTGACAGCGTGTAATATGATATATAACTATAAAATTTACAGTGGTTTTTGGAGTTACAGAAAATTTATTTAAAATTTACTTAATTTTGATTCATTAGAGGACTAATGGATTTCATTGAAACACGTTAAATATAAAAATGGTTTTCCATTACAGGTGTTAAAAAATGTGGCAAATCTCTTGGTCTTTTTCCTGGCCATTACTGTACCAGCTTCTGTTGTATTTTTATCATGACATAATTTACAATATTTCCATACTTCAGAGGCTTTTCACGGTTTTCTTTGGAGTTTATGTTGTTGTTTTTTATATTTTTGTATTTTCGTTCGATGGAATGTCTTCTTTTTTGCAACTTGTAAGGGATAACGCTAATTCTTTCCGAAATTCCGTAATGCTAAATTTCTGCTTTGTAATATCTTTGTATAAAATGTAACTATTTACAAAAACAGACTTGGCGCATAACATGTTGAATGAATGTCTATAGGAATTACAGGCCTCATTCAATTGAAACAGCGATGATCGCTCAAACAGCGATCGTTGTATCCAGCATTAGCGATCACTTTTGAAAACGAGTGATTTTTCGTATTCATTTGAAACACTTCCCTACCAGTCGAACTCGTAGGGGTTGCCAGAGGTTACTTGATGCGCGATGCTGTTTGTCACGTGGTCGGAAGTTGCGTTTGTTTCGAAATAACCAATGAAAGAGCTACCAGATGTGCAGGTTGACTCCTCGTAACCATTCTTTAGGGTTGCAGTTCACGTTTGGTGTGCCATCTTTGGCTTTCCAGCGCTATTGTTTCAAAGTTTTATCTGTGAAAATTCTTCAAAGGTATTATTTTATTTTAATTCCTTTATGAAAACAGCTAACCTAAAAGACACATTCCATTCACATAAATCATATACATGTGAAAAATATAGGTCAAGTAAGTTTTGCATACTGAAAAAAAAAAAGTGATTCAAAAGACCTTTTAAAGCAAAAGAAAAGAAAAATGTACCTAGTTCTATTAACAACTCAAAAAATACAATGTAATATATTCTAAAAGGAAAATTATATAATACACAATGATGTAGATTACATATATTTAATAAATACATAAAACTCTATAATGACTCTAATGTTCATAACTATATAATAAACGCCAACACATATCACATCATGGTACATAACACTGCTATGAAAGGAAGAATTTTTAATTAGAAACATACCTTTTATATTTATTTGATAACATAGACGAATAAAATATAAAGATGACAAGAAGTTATGAAAACACGTTATGCAACTTAAGAAACAGTAAGAAGCCTTTTAAGTTATTGCAATATCATAAGGCACTGATTAGGAAGTAAATATCATTTTTTCATTCTTTTACATCAGTAATACTTTTTTCATTAAAAACTTTAGCAGTGAAAGCCAAAACAGATTTATCATTGGCGCCTCTGATGCAAGGTCACACAAAAATAAACTTGATTTAGCAAATTTCTAAAACATTAAAATCAAAAATAGTAAATTACAGTAACATATATTATTAAATTATTTTAATTACACATAAAAAATTGTCTGAATTAAATTAAGAATCACTGACTAAGCTTGTACAGCATTTTAAAACATATTTTATGTTGATACATTGGAAATAAATTGACAGCAATCGCAGTTAAATGAAAGAGCTGGAAATACAGTCTACATGATGTATAAATACAGTCAAAATTATTCGTTAAATACCTAAATTGATGCTTACCTTCTTCAAAATGAATATAAATACGATATATTAATGTTACTTTAAGGGAAACATTATATAATGCATAATTTCAATCATATTATCCAATGTTTACATTTTTTTTTTTTTTTTTTACATTGGAGGCCGACTGACAGATTTGGCGACAATATAATAAGGTCAAAAAATAACATACGATTTTAAACCATGAATCCCGCATTAAAATTTAAATAAAAAGTGCACTTCATAGTTATAATCACGCACAAAATTGAAATCAAATGTATAATATAATTATTTAAACTTTGTCCTTTCGCGATAATAACAATAAAGAAAATCACATCAGCATCTACTTATCGCCGTCGGTATCTGTGTATTGACTATACACATTCTGATATTCATTTTGTACATATAAAATCAGTTTGTCATTAATTAGCAATACTTAAATGATAATACACATTTCGCTGAAACATGAACACTTATTTTTTTAACAATTATGAAAACATACGAAGCTGAACTTACTTCAAAAGCGCACGGTCTTGCGATCGGAATCTATTCCAATGGACAAGAATTAATTACCCATTTTCTTCGTATTTCTTCATTTCTCGGGAAATAGAACATACTAAAGTTATTTCTGGAACGATATGAATAATTTGATGCAGTGCATCCACGCATATTTCTCTGAATTAGGTAGCAATCCATCAACACAATGTAAACAACACAACGCTAAATCAATGTCCACTAGCAACAAGTGCACTTAATTTGGATACAACACAGATGATGTGTCGGCTGCCCTTGCTAGGATCCTTATACACCCTATACTTTGATATAAGTTGATGCTCACTCAGCAGATCTAAAGCATTTTCTTTAGCACACTTGATTTCTGTCCTCGTGAAAGCACAAACAACACAGCCGCCATATTGATTTGATCGTTTTTCGCCGAGAAATGATGGGTCCCAAGTGATTGCTATGAGAACGAGCGATCGCGAGCTCAGAGTGATCGTTGCGTTTCAATTGAATACCAAAACAGCAAAATCAATCGCAACTGATGACGTATGACGGCTAACGATCACTAAATGTTTCAATTGAATGAGGCCTTACGTTTCAAACGTAAACTATCTTCTATTGCGATAAGAATCGCTGGCCCTACATTATGAGCGCTTTTAAGCGGCGCGCATGTTTTGAACCGGATTGCCTAGGAAATATGCGTAGCGCTCAGCATGTTGAAAATTTTCTGCAAAAATTCTTGTAGGAAGTGTACAAATATCCTTAATCAAGACCCTGTCTCCCTGTGATTTCAATGTGTTTAGGCTTATAGAACTTTCAAAGAGGAAGTATCATTCGAACGAGAAAGTCAAGACAGTGACAGGCTTCGTACGGTCCTTAAGAGTCCATAAGTTTTTTGGAAACAATTTTTGGTCCTTAAAAATCCTCCTTAATTTTGGCCAAAATTGGCAAGAGGTCCTTAATTTTAATAATATGAAATTTCTCTGTTTTTACCACTGCCATTTTGAATGTGAATTAGCATTTTGCAGCAATATTTTTGGTGATTCACTGACAAGTATGGTTATTTTCTTGAATGGGTTCATGGGTTATAATTTGTTCCATTTGTAAATAAAACTGGTGGGATACTCTAGTTTATGAGCAAGAAGTGAAACATAAGCATTTCAAAATTGTAATGAAGAGCTCTCAGACAACTTTCCGCTTTTGGGGATGTGAATTCTTTTATTAAATGGTTCTAAATTTATCAACTTATCAACATTTTGGTGATTTTAAGATCGGTTTCTATGAAAAATTTTTAATTCCAAAATCTGGGAAATTTTTAGCGACTTTTTTAGAACATTCTAACACTAATAAATTTCATTAAAATAATGGTAATCTATTGGAATTATATTTAAGAAATAACATTAAAATAAAGCATTTTTATTTTTCACAGTCATATAAAGTTCCATTTTGGCCACATATTATACAATGTTTTGAATCTGAGAAATAAGCAAGGTATAATGCTATAAAGCACAATTTATGAAACAGTTTTTAGCAAAAGGCGTTTTCCCATCTGATGCAGTCTCTGTGGATCGTAAATTCTGCTTTCCAATGCCTGTTCTAAATTCTAAACGTTTTGCCATTTCTAGACTTTATTCCTCAGTGTGTCACTAAATTCTAAAAATTATGACACATCAGCTCTCTAACTGATGCTTACCATATATATATTTTTTCTGAATGTTCATATTACTAAAGAAATAAAATTAGCAGCTTTTTCTATACATTCTAAATGCATTTAATTTATTTAGAATATCAGAAATCTTTAATTAAATCCAAAAATTCTAAAATGAAGAGAAAACGTGGAAGAAAGAAACTGAATACATAAAGAAAAACAAATTTATTCTTCAAAGATATGTACAGTTATAATTATGTAAATTACCCAATTGTTTACAATTTCAGCCCTTACTATAATTTCCCATTTCTATTTCCTCACTAGAATGCAAATCACTGAGACAGTTTTTAAACTGAGGTTTTTGGAGTGCAAGACAAGAGTGTGTTTCTGACCTCCACTTGCTCCCTGTATTAGTTTCTGACTCCACTTGCTCCCTGTATTAGTTCCTATCAGCTCTGATAATTTCCATCACCGTTGCTGACATTTGAGTTTATTATGACAATAGAGTTATTGAACTAGATTAAATTGAAATTAAATTGACCACTAGTCTATATTTTTAGTTTGAATTTGACTCTTGTTTAATTACATCACCACGAGCTGTAATTGATTTTGTTAGCATAAGAGCATGCCTTTATTTTCTAGTTTTTTTTTTTTTTTTTTAAATAAGAGCCTTATTTAAACCTTTGTCTGACTTAGCAGTTACTTTCAGACATAAACATAATTTGTTTCACGTCTGTCGGGGGTGGGGGTGGACTATTTAACCTCATACTAGATCAAGTAAACCCTCATTGTGGAGCGGTTGACAGTTAGGAGATAAAACAGGCAGAAACTAATGAGAATGGTATTTTGCATATATAATGAGAGCATTGTTTTGCATTCTAATTGTTAGAAAAGATGCTTAAGGAGAAGGAAGTTGATATAAATTAGCCAAAATGTCTGGGCAGGCCTTCAAATTAAAAAGACGCATAAATGTTTTGTTGAGTTTTATTGCTACAAAACATACATGTTTAATGTGTAATTATCCCAATATTGTTTAAAAATCAATGTCATAAATTGCATATATTTTAAACTGAAATTTTATTAGATTGTAATATTAATAGGTTTTTTTACAAATATTATTAAAAAATAAATTTAATTTGATAGTGTCTGTGTAAATCCATATGACTAAGGCTATCTAATACCTAATTTAATTACTTATAACTCAGTGCTTACCCTTAAAAATATCTTTGCATATTAAAGTGAGTTATTTGCTTTCATTAACCTTTACAATAGTCACAATGTAAAACACAAAAATATAAAAAATTCATGTAAAATTTATTCTTCGCATCTAGTGAATAATGCAAGACAACTTATCATTTCTAGTGCTTTAGTGGCTTGATAGAACCTTAAAATATATTAATTGGGTTACAACCCCTGGAACTCTACACTAAGCTACGACACTAACTGTGTCAGACAAGCTTTACTAACTGTGCCTGCACCGGGCCTTTCAGGTTTGTTCTGATCAGCAGGTCTCTTTCTAGGCAAGCAGGAGCAGTGACAAAAGCCAGTCTTTTGTTATGAATCATGCTGATTATGATTTTAATGCTCATTTTAACCTATGCTGCTTAACATAAAATCTACTTACTATTTACTAAACCTCTAGACTGAGCAAGTATGTGACAAAATGAGACATTAAGAATAAAAAAGCTAACTGTTTGTAAAACAACTAAAATGTCACTTATCTTCTTTCAAATATGTTCAGTTATTATAAGTGTAAACTATTTAATGCTACTTGATAAATTTCTTAATGTTTATTTTATTCTCAAACATAATAATAATGCATCCTACTTATGGATCTCTTTTATTTTTAGGATGGTATTAAAAAGTGAAGTTCAGACATAGATATAATATTTTTAAGTGAATTTATTCAGTTCCCATTCGCTCATAGGTTCTTAATTTCTTTTTAATGATCCTTAAAAGTACTTTATTTCCGTGTGCAGAAATGTGTACGAACCCTGAGTGATGCAAGAATAATTATCAAAAGTTGGATGGGAACTTTTCAAACAAGATATAGCTATACTTATGCTATGCTACGTTAAAGGGTACTTTGATGTGAATAAAATAATTATATGATTTGTACACTTTTTTATGCATGTATAACATTTTAAGTGACCCTTGTATATTCAGTAATATTAGTGTCGTGAATGTTGCAAAAAATATGCGCAATAAAAATGTTTTATATTTTATATAGATCTCTTTTCACCTGATGTGAAGAAAAATCAAAGGTTACGCCTTTATAAATTATTTGCAGGTATGCTATTTATGTACTCGTTTCATAATAATTGCATTAAAATACTCATTTCTGTGTAAGAGATGCAATAATTATAACCACACTAGTAATTTTCTTGACTAGGAAAAAAAATCAATATACAGTCAAAAGTCGTTAATCCGGGACTTCGGCGATTACGGATTATAGATCATCAGTTTAAATCTGGTAAGATGGCATGCAGAAATTATAAAATTAAAAATATGAAACCGTAATTTATGAAATAAAGAACAATTATGATCTAAAGGGTATAAAAATTTACAAAAAAAAAAAAAAAAAAAAGCTTAATATTTATTTGTTTACTTTATTAAACATTTCTTTCAATCAATGTAAGATGTTTAAGTTGCTTCGTTTTTTATGTGATAATACATTCTCTTTAATTCTATAAACAGACATAATTTCTTGTTCAGTTACAAAATTCTGCTGTTCAAGTCCTATAATTGCTGTGTCGAGAATACCAACTAATTCGTCAATCGAAATTTTTTCATTTTCAATAAGCTCTGTCACTTTCTTCGCTATCGGAAGCGAATTATAATGACAAGGAATTTGATTTAAATCAAAGACGGAGTACATCGAGATGAAATACTACATTTAGTAAGGAATTATAAGCCAAATAAAATAAAAACATCTGCCCTGAAGATAAGGATAGTGCTGACAGATCAACTTCCAATTCATTGCGCGCCGCCAGCGTTAAAGATAAACAAAGGATATGCTTTTATCCATTTTTTGTTTAATGGACTTCGAAACATACTTTCGCTTTGTAGATCCTTTACATATTAGTAAATATATATCCGAAATTCTATTTGACATAATCGAAATTTCAAGCTTACTTTTATAAAATTGCTTTAACAGTCTGCAAAAAAATAATAAGCCGAATCCAATTCGAAGATTAAGGAACAACGCAATCTGCAACAGTAACTGAATTAGATAATTTTAGCTTAGCGTATACCGTCCGTTACATTAAATGCGCATTCGTAAATGTATTTTGCGCACGCGCACATGCATATTCGCAGCCGTAAAGGTCTTACGCGCATGCGTCAAAGCGACGCATGTGCAGAAAGTTTGTAACTTTGAGGTCCGGATTATGGGTGTCCGAATTAACGACTTTCGACTGTATAAGTAAATACAGTGAACCTTCTATAAGACAATATCCAAAGCTATAGTGTGTTTTTTGTGAAGATAATTATCTCAGAAAATATGACTACAGCCATAACAGTTATTGCTTTGTATAATGGTTCACCTTATTCTATGCTTTTTGGATGTTAAAAATGTCTGAATGTGTTTTAAGTGCAAGATCATTACTATGATTTCGTAAACCACTTAGATTTGCTTTTGTGGTTAAAGAAATATTATCTCAGTTCCAGCTATTTGAAATACCTGACGCTTTTGCAGTTTGAAAATTTTTTAAATTGGTGGTGGTTGAAATGATATCTATACGTAACTTAAAGCAGTGGCAGACAGAAACTTTTAACTTCTGAACTCATAAGTATTTAATTGTGATTTAACACGTCCTATATACATACAGTTGTAACTTATTATGACCACATGTGCATAGTTATTTTTGTGGAAAAAAGAGTTTCCAAGAAAAAAATTAATGAAGTGCATAAACATATAACTGTTAATTAATTGTAAATTATAATTCATAGTTATAGATAAATATACGAGGGGAGAAAAAAAGCATTTCAAAATATATGATTCGGAAAATTCTGGATGGTGAGAAATTATTTTATGGTTATTTCAGAATTTTCCTTCGAACTATTAATCTAAGCTTGTAAATGCTACAATAAAGATAATTAGCAATATTCAAATTTTGAAAAACATCGATTTTGGCTGAGAGAGCTATTTGAGTTTAGAAAGACCATGCAAAATGATAACATTCAACATGAATGAAATTTAAAATGATTGGTTGTAATGTACATATAAGGAAAAATCTAAAATTATTTAATATGTGATTTAAAAAAGGTAGATATAAATAAACAAAAAATAAAATACCAGTATACAAAAGTAAGCAGGGAAAAAAGTGTGATAAAGTTAACTAAATATAAAGGACACTTACCAGGGATTTGTTGTGCAAATGCTGAATTTGTCCATGACGTTCAAGGTCAGCGAATTTTTCGCTTTTTATTATGCTGTTGCTCATATTACTGCATTTCTATTAAATTACATTAGGTAATTTATTTAATGTACATAAGTGTACTTATGGTTAATTATGACAAGAGTTTATATAAATTGTATAAAATATTAACCACTTGAGCTAAAAAGACATGCCACGCACGTGGAGGTGCTTCTGTCTCAAACAGCGCACAAAAATGAAAATAACGTGCTGCACACTTCGGCTAACAACGAGATTGTTTATTTCTCGAGTTACAGCTCTGAATTGCACTCGCAGACGTGGAGCGGCATAAATGAGACACTTTAGCTTGTTATATTGTAGCGCACGGCACCGCAACAGTAAAGTTTAGTCGTAGCGCAAGTGGTTAAGAAAAAAATTGATTTTTAAAATTTTGTATAAATTTCTAAATTGTTATTTTTGTTATTTAGTGATGTACCATGATGGAGAAGAAGCAGTAAAAGGTCACTATATATCAGATGTATACAACCACGGCTGCAAAACATGGATTAGATGTGATGATAGATCACTGTCTGCTGTTACTGAAGCTCAGGTTCTTTCACATAGTCCACCCCGAGTTCCTTATCTATTGTTCTACCAGGAGAGCTGAAGTCAAATTTGTGCATAGATATTAAAGCTAGAATATTATTTCTGGCAATACTTTTAATCAATGGATTATTTTGTGATAAATGCTGAAGAGATGCATATTGTGAATATGTTTTAAGCTATTTTGATTGAGTCATGTAAATAATATCAGAAGTAGACTGATTGGGATTGTAGTCCCACCATTTTTACTATTTTTTGGAACTTCGAGAACTACATAAAAAATCTGTCACTTTGGGTATGGTGAAAGTTTCTTGAAAGCTGTGAAACTTCAATGCACTTAGAAGAAAAATGGCTTTTGTATATTTTTATTCATGTGCATATCAAGCACTTTGTACTGATGAAGATAAATTAGTAATTTAGTGTCTAAGGTCTATGTATGCACTCCTTCCTTGATTTACGAATGGATGATATTCCGTGCCCTTATTTTTAAAACACTGTAAATAGGTATAATGGAACAAAATTGTTTTAGTAAGTAATTTTGTCTAATACGTTAAATGCATAAATATTTTAGTAATCAATAGAAACTAAAACTTGAGCTTAACCGTGATAAAATTGAGTGCAATATAATACAGTAAACCCTCATTATGGTTCTTCCAGTTTTCCATGAATAAGAGTATGAAGACACAATGGATCTAGCACAGTATTAGCTGTTCATATAAAGCTTGAGTAATTTTGCTTAAATTAATAATACAAATGAACAAGGAGATTTATTAACAAGGTGAGGAGGGGAAATGTTATATAGCTTTATTTCCTTTCTTCTTTCATAGGTGCTTTGTTATTCTGGAAAGGGCTTCAGTGAATTTAACGTACCTGTTAAAGGTTAGGTTTCAGTTGCTTTTCTGTGAGAGGATACAGTTTAATTATCCTGCAAAATAAGGGGAGGAACATTAGAACTTTTTATTGAGGAATCTTGCTTAAGTTTCTTTGAGGCTCAAAATTGATACACCTTTCATGCTGTGACTACTATGTGAGTTCTATCAGTAAGTTACATTTATGGCTATACTGTTTGTATTAAATGTACAGGGTGCCATTCTCTAATAATGTCTTAAAAAATCAGCAAATCTCTCACCAATGAATGGACTTTCTTCTTAGATCAGCATGCGCAGAAGCATTCTTCCATGTTCTAAAGTGAAATGACAAGGGAAGACTAGAAATTGAATGGTAAAAAAATATACATTAGAGCAATAAGAATACAAAATAAAGCAGTAAACGTGATTAATATTGAACTGAAATACTGCAAAAAAATTCATGTGATTTTACGATTTACTTGAATTTTCTGTGACTGTGGTTAATAATGAGGGATTACTATATTGTAAGATTAACATAAACTGGAATATCATTATTTACTTACTTAAAAACTTATGATAAAGCTTTTCTTCATTTCATGCTGTGTACAAAATATCATAATCAGTATTCCATTATCTATCGGATTAATTCTCATTTGAGAGAATTCATTTTTTACATGCTTTTAGTGGCTACTATGAATTTTTTTATTTATATATTTTGTATCTTGTGGCTCATAAATATTTCATTATGTTTATGGGTTTTTATAGCTTCAGTATTCGTAACTTGAGGATCGAGTGTATATATATATTGCGGTCTTTGGAAACCAAAAAATTATTATCTATGATACTCCCAATAAAATACAATGATATGTTTGATTTTAGGTGTCATGGCTGCTTTTTATTATCAAATTAGCTTGTAGAACTTATCGGTATGAAATTGCCATTACGTTTGTCTGAATTATGTTCTTTGTGTTGTCCCCTTTTTTTTATCATTTTGGCCTCTGAAAGGCAAATTTAGCAGTATAGCAATTCATTATGTGTAATAATTTTTTTTATGAAATGAATTGTATGACTGAGTTGAATGATAAGGAGTATGTGACTTTATTTTGATAAATTAAAATGGTGGTCTCAACATGTATATAATGTACCAAAATGTACATCTATGTGCATTTAAAAATATTTATGAATAAAAGATGAGGAAAAAAATGAAGTGTCATCTTTTCATTAACAATTTTTTGTATGTATAAGTATAAAACAAAGTTTATATGAAGCATATAATTTGAGTGTTTTTCCACAACGAATCTTAATCCTAATTATAAGCAAAAATGTTTTTCCCACAATTTCAATATAATGTTTATCAAATTTTAAACCGTTTGTTTCTTTTAACAAAATGTCTTCCATTTTTGGGGAAGAAAAAATTGAAAAAGAAGCCACAATTTATTTTATTAAAAGTGATACATTAGGTACTAGTAATTTCAAAGCAATCTGAGCATGATTGCCTTTACATACTTATTTTCCCTTTTTTCATGCAGCTAAAATTTAACTGAAATATAAAAATAAGTACATATATATTAAAATGTTTTTTTCTTTGAGTACACTTGTAGAAAATCCTATTAAATTTTGTGTGAATGTACTTATTTAAATAGCTTTTTTTAAAACTTCCTTAGTTCATCATCTCAACCTTCAGTTTTTTTTTTAATGAATAATGTAAAAGCAGTACAGTCAAAAGTCGTTAATTCAAACACCCATAATCCGGACCTCAAAGCTACAAACATTCTGCGCATGCGCAAAATACGTTTACGAATGCGCGTTTAACGTATAACGGATGGTATAAGCTAAGCTAATATTATCTAATTCAGTTAATGTTGCAGATTGCGTTGTTCCTTAATCTTCGAATTGGATCCGGCTTATTATTTTCTGCAGACTGTTAGAGCAATTTTATAAAAGTAAGCTTGAACTTTCGATTACGTCAAATAGAATTTCTGATATATATTTACCTATATGTAAAGGATCTACAAAGCGAAAGTATGTTTCGAAGTCCATTAAACAAAAAGTGGAATTGCTGCAAAAAATGATTAAAGGCATATCCTTTCTTTATCTAACCATTCCGAAATCTGTTTATCAATTTCATGCTGCTATGCGGCGGGGTGGGGGGAGACGCCGCAGCACGCAATGGATTGGAAGTTGATCTGTCAGCACTATCCTTATCTTCAGGGCAGATGTTTTTATTTTATTTGGCTTATAATTCCTTACTAAATGTAGTATTTCATCTCGATATACTCCGTCTTTGATATGATTTAAATCCAATTCCTCGTCATTATAATTCACTTCCGATAGCAAAGAAAGTGACACAGAGGTTACTGAAAACAAAAAAATTTCGATTGACAAATTAGTCGGTATTCTCGACACAGCAATTATAGGACTTGAACAGCGGAACTTTGTAACTGAACAAGAAATTATGTCTGTTTATAGAATTAAACAGAAACTATTATCACATAAACGAAGCAACCAAACAACTTATATTAAAAGAAATGTTTAATAAAGTAAACAAATATTAAGCCTTTTTTTTTGTAAATTTTTGATACCCTTTAGATCATAATTGTTCTTTATTTCATAAATTACAGTTTCATATTTTTAATTTTATAATTTCTGCATGCCATTTTACCAGATTTAAACTGATGATCTATAATCCGGAATCGCCGAAGTCCGGATTAAAGACTTTTGACTGTATTGCAGTCTGAAAACAATACATACTAAAGAACTCGTAAGCGTGGGTATTCCGGAATATGAATAATCGCTTTGCTTCTGCCCAAAAATAAATTTGTGTAGTCAATCATCTTGCATGTTCTCCAGATTTGTCTCCTTGCGATTATTTTCGCTTCCACGAAATTAAAATTTATTTTTAAAGGAAAGTTGTCTTTTCATATGGAAAAGATAAAACGAATGCAACATCTACTCTTAAGAGGTGTGCCAGAAAAACACCTCTACAATGGTTTTCAGAACTGGGAATTCAATGTGGAATTTTCAATTTTTTTTTTTTTTTTTTAGGAATGTGTTTCTTTAGTTTCAGCTGATTGACATGACTACATTTGGACTTCTTGATTTTTACCATAAAAGCGAAAGTTCTAAGCAACAACGATATACCTACTTCGTAGCGCACAGTTTCAAATTCAGCGTTTGACAAAATAAACTAGTCTTTAAAAGTTTAACAGTTTTGATCATATCCCAACTTTTAGTAAAAATGTATCAAATATAAATTTTTTTATTACCCCTCTTACAAAGAGTGTTTCAAATAGCTAACTTTTCCCCATATTATTGCAGATAATTTTTAAAATATACCCTAGAGCAAGAGATTATTTTAAAAAGTAATTGTTATATTACGATAGAGCAAGAAAAAGGATCTCAGAATAAAAATGGAATCATATTCAGGTAAAATGATCGCAAAAGGAAAAACCAAAAGATAGAAGGATGAAAAAATAAAATCAGAGTTAGAATGAGATCCAGGTTGTACTCCCACTGCTGCTAAACTTTTATGCGATAACACATCACAACAGATACAAGACTCTGAATTGCTTCTTTTTGCATACAAATTATAATTTTAAATGGTGTCTACATCAGATTTTCTAAATTTGCTATCACCTACAATTAATCAATGTATTGCTTTTTTATACCTGGCTTTAATGTCTCACTAATCTAATAATTTCTTGATTAACAGTTCAGAACAGCTTTCTAACATTAATGAATCTACTACTCAGGACAATTACCATATATATTCCAGTGTAAAACGCGCACATGTAATATGAAACTTTTTTTTTTTTTAAATTTTAGGTGTATTTGCCTTATAACGCACATTCGTTTCGCTAGGAAGAAACCTGAAAAATGCACGTGTTGTTATCTTTTGAAATCGTTCATTCGAAGATTTTTTTTGCTGGCTTTCGAACAGTGGTATATTGAATAGACAAGCGATAAGAGAAACAGTGCTTGAAGACGTAAATAATTCTGCAATGAGTATTCAGCTTCTATTCAATACAGAATGAGAATGTCTAGGGTTTTGAGAATAGGGCAGAACCCGATTCAGACTTGATAAGACCCTAAGTTATTTGAGATATGGGGCCCTTATAAGTCTGTTATAATATATTTTAATGCTATTTATATTATATTTTAATTTTGGTGTTCGTGTAGCTTATACCTAAATCCGGCTCTGGAAAAGGGGAAATAGTTTGGGATACGAATGTAGTTCCTATCCGAATGAGTTCGTGAAATTACAATAAAAGTCAGATGTTTTTCTCTTTCTGTAGTCATTTGAAACCGTTATTTGGAAACGAACATTGAAGGCTTTAGTAAATCGCATTTCTTTTAGCTGAAATAGATTTTCGTTTTGTGTTCCTTTTAGTAGTAAATATGGTTCCTACCAAACAAAACAACATAGTGCTGGTTTGAAATGCAAAGACATTCAGTTTGCGAACGAAAATGAAAATTGTTCTGTAGTAAGGACATTTGGTATCGATGAAAACTCCATAGGTGAATGGAAGAAAAACGATATCACAACAATTAATATGCCAAAGAATGAATGTGCTTTGCGGGAAGGAGTAAAGAAATCGCTTACCTTAAAAGAAACAATGTGCGAACTGGGTTACACAAAATCGCCAGTAACACCATTTTGGTAAATGTAAGAAAACAAATTTTTCTATACTCATTTTTTATATTAAAAGTTCGCGTTATACATCGGAGTATTCGGTACGTTTAAGGAAGAAAAGATCATAACACCTTTATTCTTTTAACACGTGGCTGCCACAAATCTTTTGGTGCGTGGATTGGTAATCTTTTTCTGTTCTGACAAGCCCCTAAATCGAGAATTCTTGTTGATGCTATTCTTTCCTTCAGGTATTAATAATTATTATTCGACTCAAAATAATGTCTTTTGCCAAAGAATGAATATGCCAAAGAATGAATGTGCTTTGCGGGAAGGAGTAAAGAAATCGCTTACCTTAAAAGAAACAATGTGCGAACTGGGTTACACAAAATCGCCAGTAACACCATTTTGGTAAATGTAAGAAAACAAATTTTTCTATACTCATTTTTTATATTAAAAGTTCGCGTTATACATCGGAGTATTCGGTACGTTTAAGGAAGAAAAGATCATAACACCTTTATTCTTTTAACATGTGGCTGCCACAAATCTTTTGGTGCGTGGATTGGTAATCTTTTTCTGTTCTGACAAGCCCCTAAATCGAGAATTCTTGTTGATGCTATTCTTTCCTTCAGGTATTAATAATTATTATTCGACTCAAAATAATGTCTTTTCCGAATGAAAATGTATGAAACAAAATTAAAATAGATAAAGACTTCCTAAATATACACTATTTTGAAACACTATATCAAATCCTGCTATCAAAAAATGTGATCGAGTCAGAATGACCTGAAGCAGAAGAAGGTAAGGAATGTCACCTCTGCTCTTAATGTACAATAATTTATTATGAATTAAAATATTTCATGAAAAGGACTTAAATCATATGAGATTCTTTTAAAACCTTATTAAATCCTGACACCAAAAGATGTCATCAAATCGCGAAGTGAACTAAATTGCGGAATGTGCATACATCGAAGAATCAATAAATCAGAGGATCAAGAATGCTACCAGGAATATGAATTTATTATTAATTAAAAATAATCTCAAAGGACCCATAGTTTAACCAAACCAAACAGGCATTGTTAAGGATTTTTTTTTTTTATGCTCTTACTGAGTTTGTTGTCTACCAGTCTGCTTGCTATTGCACTCATTGTTGTTTACCCATTTCTTTTTGCCCTTTTAGCTTTATTATTAAGCATAATTTTCTTCGTACTTACCCCATATACAGTTCAAAAGCAAAATTACAAAATTTTAAAAGCAGCACGTGTTTAGAATTTCCGATGAGGAGTTAAATTGTTGGCATATACTTTTATATTTTATTGTTTCACATGTAAATACAGTCAAAAGTCGTTAATTCGGACACCCATAATTCGGAATGATCTATAATCCGGACATCGAAGCTAAAAACTTTCTGCACATGCGCCGCGTTGACACATGCGCATAGGCGTTTACGCGTGCGCGTAAGACCTCTTATGACTGCGCATTTGCGTGTGCACAAGCGCAGAATACGTTTTTGCGTGCGCATTTTATGTATAACGGACGGTGTAAGCTAAAATTATCTAATTATCTATTTCAGTTAATGTTGATGATTGCGTTGTTCCTTAATTTTCGAATTGGATCCGGCTTATTATTTTTTGCAGACTGTAAGAGCAATACTATAAAAGTAAACTTGAACTTTCGATTATGTCAAATAGAATTTTTGATTCTGGAGCTCCCAAAGGATCGTACAAAACGAAAGTATGTTTCGATGTCCATCAAACAAAAAGTTGAATTGCTGCAAAAAATGGATAAAGACATGAAGAATGTGACAGAGAGGTTAGTGAAAACGAAAAAATTTCGATTGACAAGTTAGTCGGTATTCTCGGCACAGCAATTAACGGGACTTGAACAGCGGAACTTTGTAAGTGAACAAAAAATTATGTCTGTTTATAGAATTAAAAAGAAAGTATTATCACATAAAACGAAGCAACTTAAACAACTACATTGAGAGAAATGTTTAATAAAGTAAACAAATAAATATTAAGCTTTTTTTTTTTTTTTTGTAAATTTTGATACCCTTTAGATCATAATTGTTCTTTATTTCATAAATTACGATTTCATATTTTTAATTTTAGAATTTCTGCATGCCATCTTACGCGATTTAAACTGATGATCTATAATCCGGAAAAATCGATAATCCGGAATCGCCGAAGTCCCGACGAGTCCGGATTAACGACTTTTGACTGTATTAGTAAATTTGAATTTAAGTGAAAGATTTGGAATCTTCTTTTACAGTTTGATATATGTCTCAATTCCAGGCAGGGGAAATATTTGTGATTAGAGCTTACTATATCATTTCTTTTTTCTTTTAACAATAAGAGATATTTTACATAACTAATACCATTTATATCAATAATTATATTGCTTAAGAAATAATGAAATCATTATGCATTAAAAGTGTGTAGAGACAATAGGATTTTTGGAAGCAGGAAAGATGAAAAATGAGCAATCGCCTTAACCGGGAATCGAACCACGGACCTCTGAAATACCGGCTCAGCGTGCAAACTCAGGGCTAAAGGGCTAGCTCATCAGCTTCTCGCGGCTGAAACCGAAAGAAGAGACTGATGACATATTTAGGTTCGCTTGCTCAGTTCTGCTGTTTAGTTTCTTAAGCATTTGCTTCAGAATCAAAACGCTTTGAAGAATAGTTTAATAACCAATACGAGCCGAGGTTTTAGCTCATGAAATTGCAATATACGTAGCGTATTCGGAAACTAAGTACCGTTTTATTCTAGCGCTGTGGGAGGCATCCCGCGCATGCGCACTAGTCTTTCTTGTTCACTGAAAATTCAATTGTCGCCATTTTGGTTGCTCTATGTTGTGTTTTCAGTTTGCTGTGCACATTCAAAATGTTTAAGACAATTAGTTCTCCCGCTGACTGTGAGATTCGTGCCGTGATTAAATTTTTGAACGCGAGGAATGTTAAACTGGCCGAAATTTATCGTCAAGTGACAGAAGTTTACGGTGAATACGCGATAAATGATGGAATGGTGAGAAAGTGGGTAAGAATGTTTAATGTAGGTCGAACAAATGTCCACGCCGAGGCTCGGAGTGGTCGGCCTTCTGTTGTCACCGGTGATTTGGTAAGGAAAGTTGATGAAGCAATTCATGAGAACAGATGCTTCACAATGACAACTCTTTCAGAGGCATTTCCACAAACTTCACGTACTGTTTTGTGCGAAATTGTGTCTGACCGCTTGAATTATTGCAAACTGTGTTCCCGATGGGTTCCAAAAGTGCTCACTGATGTTCACAAAACAAAGCGACTTGGTAGTGCCCTGACATTTCTCACGCGGTTACAGTGATGAGGGAAAAAAACTTTTTTAAACCAAATTGTGACAGGTGATGAAAACTTGGGTATGTCATTTCACACACCAGAATCGAAACAACAATCGATGGAGTGGAGACACACTCATTCTCCGAAAAAACAAAAGTTCAAAGTGACAATGTCATCACAAAAAATCATGTGCACTGTCTTCTGGGATAGGAAAGGCGTTTTGCTTACTGAATTTCTTCCCAGAGGTGAAACCATTAATGCGGCAAGATATTGTAAGACTTTAACAAAACTAAGGCGTGCCATTCAAAACAAACGAAGAGGAATGCTCAGTAAAGGAATTGTGTTGCTCCATGACAATGCTCGGCTCCATACTGCTGGTGTCACTCAATCGTTAATTCGACAGTTTCATTGGGAGCAGTTCGATCACCCGCCGTACAGCCCGGACTTGGCGCCGTCCGACTATCACTTGTTCCTGCACATGAAGCGCGAGCTTGGTGGCAAGTGCTTTGGATCTGACGATGACACGAAAAATGCTGCGAGTCGTGATTATCGAAACTGGCGGAAAGTTTCTTTGACTATGGTATAAAAAAACTGGTCACCCGCTATGACAAGTGTTTGATCATTGGCGGAAACTATGTTGAAAAATAGTTTAAGACATGTATTTTCATGTAAAAATAAAATTGGATTCGAAAAAATAGTTTCACTTTTTTTTTTTTTTTTTTTTCAAAACGGTACTTAGTTTCCGAATACGCCTCGTACATGCATCTATATATGAACTAGTAATGTAGTTACGTCATACTAAATTAAACTCTAATATGCGTAAAACATGTGTAAACATAACTAATTTTTTAGGTCGAGTATACCTTAAATGTAGTAAATCTTTTTCATTATCTTTTTAAATATATGTAAATAGTAACCTATCGATAACATAGGTAAATTTCTACATTTACGAAAAATTCTCTTTGCGTTAAAATATCAGTTAGTCGCAAAGTAATTTTCATTATCGAAATATTAAATAAAAATATGCAAATACATTTTGAGAATACATGCCTTACACATCTATCTGATTAAAAATTAGCTAATGCTAATAATAGATTTCAAACCACATTAAAACGAAACAAATTTCACTTCTTTCATTTTTGCTTTTCAATTAGCGTTGATAATGGTAAGCTTTTGCAATGACTTTTATAAATGTATTATTATGAAACATCAGCATTATTATTTAACGTCAATTATTCAAAAAATAATTAAAGTATTTTAAAATGGTATTTATATATTTTGGAATAATAGCATGTATTCTCACATTTTAAAAGTATATACTCTGATACTAATTTATCTTTATGCAAAAATTTCATGGTTTATTTTATATAGTAAAATTTAGCTAAAAATTTCCAATGTCTTTCTTAGCTAACTTAGCTATCTACGATATCTAAATAAATATTCTTGGTTTCCAAGAAATGAAAAAAGTATAAAATAACAAATAAAGAAAAAAAATAAAAGGTTCCTGATTATAACGGTCGCCCAGAAGGTTTTATTAAGTTTAAGCTCTTGCTAAACTCGCAGCCTATCAGTCTGTTTCTGCACTCACTCCTAATAACACCCTCCTTTTTTTTTTTTTTTTAATTTTTTTTTTCTAATCTGTATTATTAAACATAGTTTTCTTCGCATTTACGCCGTATACAATTCAACAGCAAAATTAGACAAATTTAAAAGCAGCCATAAGCATATATACATATGTTTAAAAGAACTATCAGTCTACCCAATTTGCTGTTGCACTCACTCATACTAACTCTTTTGTATGTGTGTCTTTTTAGCTTTATTACTAAGCCACATTTTCTTCGTACTTACGCCGTATACAATTCAACAGCAAAATTACAAAAAGTTTAAAAGAAGCATACTAGTATACGTTTAGAATTCCAAATGCAGCGTTAAATGTTGCTGTATACTTTTCTGTTTCTTTCATTCTTTTCACAGTTTATCATATCAATGTTCAGTTTTCTTACTAAGATGGCTTTATAAATGTTTTTTTTAATTATTTTTAACGTTTTGGGTGTTTATTTTATTGGTTAATTATTACGTTCTTGGTGCTTATGCCACATAAAATTCTGTTCAACGGCAAAATCACAAAATATTTAAAAACAGTCTAACTTTAGAATTTTCGAAATACAGTCTCGCGCATTGAAGATAATAATGTTTTAATCAGTAGAGTGTTGCCACTTTTCGCTTTGAAATCTTTGAGTTTGTTAAAAAAAACATTTAAGTTTTACAAAATATGAAATATAAAATTCGAAATTCAAAAATCGGGCTTCCAATTGCATATGTTCGGTTGGAGGACTACGTTATTCCAAGTTTTTTGATAACCCTAGAAACCATCTTTTTTTCACAGTGCGAGAAACATACGTACATTCATGAAGATTCTTCATTATTTAATTTCTTTAGAAAATAACGCAGGCCAATAATATTTTATGGCAACAATTTAAAAAGTGATTCAGACTTTAAAAGTGATAGATCGACAAATCCCGTTTCGAGACTAATAGCTCATTCGGCCTAATGCCCTTTTAGGGGTAAAAGTATTTTATGAAAATGTCTTAAATACTGGGAGACAATTAAAAACCCAGTACTAATTCTGATACCAAAAGATTCGATCAAATCACATTGAAATTCATAGTAGGCGACGTGGAATACGATTTTTACTCACAAAGCAGAATATAAATTTATTACTGATTAAAAACATTCCTTAAAAATGGTTTAACGTATCGGTAGATCTTAAAACTATCTTAAAACTCAGGTTTTATACAAGTAAAACACCAGTTTGAGAAAATATTTTTAGAATGTTCATTACTTTCAAATGAAATCAAATTAAAATAATATGGAAATGAATTAAAAAATAGTGATTCCTTTACAAATAAATTCTCAATAACGTACATTAACGAAAGTATAAGGAAAATTTCAGTTTTATTGTTAAGAGTTAATGTGAGGCTTTTACTGTGCGAAAAAAAATTGCATTTTATTATGAATTCTAAGCCACCAAGAAATAAATAATCTAGAAAATGTTTGTTTTCACAGCTATTAATAGGCTTTTACCGCTTCACATTAGCCAGATTAGTTCGCTAATTTGCGTCGACGCGGTTTGTGAAAGACCAATCGTTACGTTCTGAACAGTTGGACGTTGGTGATCATGACGATCAGACGCAGGTATGTACCCGATTCCGACTATAACGACAATTTGCCTTACGGAGGTAAAGTCGTTTTGGCGAAGAAGAAAAAACCACAAAGTTGGATTTATACCTTTCTTGAGGTGAGAAATTTATATTGTTTGTTTTTATATTGTTATAGAAATGTATATATATATAATGTTAGATTTACCAAGTTGAAAAAAAAAAAGCTTTGTCATGAAAATACGATGCTTAAAAAAAAATAAGAAAGTCTACTTCCATAGCAAAGTGTACGCACAAAAGGCTGTCAGGTGAATTTTTAATTGCATGCTGCATATTTTAGAATTATAAGGTTACTGTCTATTTTTCATGCGTTAGCGAAAATGATATAGACTACTGATTAACTCTTATACAGTCAGCTTTTTAAAAAAAATTTTTGGCAATATTAAAATTATTTTATACCAAGTATATAAAACACATTTTATGAAAATTCAGTGCATTAAAAATGTAAGAAATATCTTTATCTAACTCGGTTACATTATCAGAATTATAAAATTCTTTAATATTCACATACATTTTTTTTTTCCGAATAAAGGTAAAACAGCGAGTTTTTATTTTAAATTTTGAAAGGAATCATAGATCTATTAAATTTATTTGTCAGCAAATAATTAAACATAGCACATATTTTACTTGCTTAAAATTAGGTATGTAATGAAGATGATTAAATATCGAAATACGATGAATTATGCAATAAGTATCAATAATAATGAAAAATTTCCTGAAGCCAGAAAAAATCTGAAAGATTTCAGATTTTAACGGTCGCCCGAAAAAGAGTTTTTTAAGGTTTTACGCTCTCGCTGAGTTTTCAGTCTGCTGTTGCAATCACTCCTAACTTTCCAAATGGGCATTAGTCCAGAAGGGCTATTAATTCCGTTTTGGCATTTTGCGTTGGTTCACTATAAAAGTCTGAATCGCTTTTCAAATTGTTGCCACCAAATATTAGAGCCTTGCATTATATTTAAAGAAATTAAAAAATGAAGAATCTGCATGAATGTAGGTATGTTTCTCGCATTGTGAAAAAACAACAGTACATAGAGACATCAAATTTTGAATCATGTAGTCCTAAATTCGAATATGGGCAACTAGAAGCCCAAATTTCGAATTTGTTTTATTATCTATTTCATAGTTTGTAAAGCTTAAAAGAATTTTTGATTAACAAACTTAACGATTTCAAAGCGTTCCGTCAACATTTTCAAGTACCGATATTTTATGCGCAACGTTTCTTTACATTTCTTACTGGTATTATGTTGGTAGCATAGCAACGCAATAACGTTACAATGTCTAACGGTATTTTGCGTCGAATGACTGAATGTCTGGATCACTTTTCAAATCCCGTTTTGAATCCCCCTTAAGAAAAACCCAGCTTTGGACGTAATATAAAATACGAAAGCTTTCGTGTTATTTTTTTCCTCCCATTTTACCTTTTCTTTATTTAGCATCGTTTTTTTCTGCGCACTTAAAGCCATATACAATTCAACAGCAAAATTACAGAAATTTTAAAAGCAGCATACGTTTAAAATTCCTGATGCAGTGTTTAACATGTTTGGTCATATATTTTCTATTTATTTCAGTCATTTTTCAATTTACGTCAGTATTAAATTTTCTTCGTAAGATGGCTTACAAAAGTTTTGTCTTATTATTAACGTTTTGCACATTAACATTCTTCGCAAATAAGCCACATAAAATTTAATTCAAAAGCAAAATCACAAAGTATCTAAAAATAACATATCTCTAGAATTTTCGATAGATAATTTCATGCTCTGGAGAATTTTTTTTTTTTTTCCCTCTTTGCAGTGTTGCCATTACTCGTAATCAAATGATTGAGTTTGTTAATCAAAAATTCCTTAAAGTTTTACAAAATGTGAAATAAATAATTAAAAACATGTATAATGTCATTTTACCATTATACTGAATATTTTTAATGAGATAATGAATAAATGCATATTTATTATCTAAATTAATCCGATTTAAAAGTAAGAAACAAATATTTTTAAGAACTGCATTAATTGCTTTCAAATACCTTGGTTTGTTAATCCACAACAGACAGATTCACTACGAAAGATAATATTTTTACATTTTGTCGAATACCAAGGCACTAGAATGAAAACTAAAATGACGTATTCATAGTGATTCTATGCAAAATCGCATTTCGAGAGTAATAGCCCTTTTAGGATGAAAAGGAAACGTAGCTTCCATTTTCTTTTTCGAGAATTAGATTATACTAGTCGAAATAAATACTATTTGCAATATACCAGCTAACAACGACGCTTTTATGCAATACTTCCATGAAATAACTATTAAAATGGAATAAAAAAATATTTAATAATAGTACCCAAATAAATTATGTAGTATAAAATTAAGATCCTTTCGACTTCAGTTAAATAAAGCTATAACTTTAGGTTTTTTTTTTTTTTTTTTTTTTTACAAATTTAATTTTTATTGTTGTTTTTTATTCTAATTTCGAGGAATACAACACCAGAACAGTTTCGAGAGTAATCCATGGTTGAAATTAAGTATGCAGTCATTGTTGGCTATGGTGAGAAAACCTCAATTTCAGTTCAGAGTATTTCAATGATGCGTTTTTCATCTCTTATCTCTGCCCACCAGCGGCCGAGCGGTAAAGTGGCTGAACACTGGTAGTTCGGTCCGAGGTTCGAATCCCGCAAACGGGCTGGCTGCATGGGCGTTTTCGTGGTTTTCCCCATGTGTAACGTGTATACGAGCCAGTTTCCCTTAGAAAGTCCTCCACGAAGGCATCCCTCCTCTTAGGCAGATAGCCCTGGAGGCTTTGCCATAATCACACACACACACATCTCTTATCTCTCTGTGACCACCAGCGGCCGAGCAGTAAAGTCACTGAAGACTAGTAGTTAGGTCCGGAGTTTTCAAATCTCGACGCATGGCCTGGCTGCATGGGCGTTTTCGTTGTTTTCCCCGTGTGTAATGTGCATACAGTTTCGCTTAAAAAGTCCGTAATGAAGGCCTCCCTTCCATAGACTTAAATAAATAATAATAATTAAAACAAAAACACATGTTTTTGTTTTAAACTCTGGAGAGGATTGTCGGAATGGCATATTCAAAAATTAAGAAATAAATAAATAAAATTTTAAAAAAAGTAAATACATTATTAAAAAAATTTGAAAGGTTTCAGATTTTAAATTACGTCCAAAGAGGCTTTTTTTTAACATTTTGTGTGTTACCTTTATTTATTTATTATCATGCTCTTTGAACTTCAACCATAAAAATTCAGTTCAACAGCAATGTCGCAAAATAATTTTAAAATGAGCATATCTTTAGAATTTCCCCTATACAGTTCCGCGCGCTGGAGATAAAAAGGATTTTCCCCCCTCCCGTAGAGTGTTGCCATTGCTGGCTTTTAAATCGTTGAGTTCGTTAATCAAAAATTCGTTAAAGTTTTACAAAATATGAGATGGCTCTAAGTACTGTTGTTTTATCACAATGCAAAAGACATACAAACATTTATGCAGATTCTTCATTACTTAATTTCTTCAAATATAATACAGGGCGATAATATTTGGTGGCAACAGTTTGGAAAGTGAAACGGACATTCAGAGTGATTCAACGCAAAATTGCTAAACAAAAACAATAGTCCTTCAGGGACAAAGCCCCTTTGGACTAATAAACAAATTTTAAAAAATAAATAAATAAAATCTGAATGGTTTCAGATTACGTCAAATTCAAAATTGCGTCGAAAGAGGCGTCATTTTGTCTGTTACCTTTATTTATTAAATGTCACGCTCTTCGTAATTAAACCATAAAATTCAGTTCAAGAGCAATATTGCAAAATAGTTGTAAATTGAGCATATCTTTAGAATTTCCGATACAGAGTCTCGCGCGCTGGAGATAAAAAGGTTTTTTTTTTTTTTTTTTTTTTTTTTTTTCTGTACAACGTCGCCATTGCTCGCTTTGAATTTCTTGAGTTTGTTTGTTAAAAATTCGTTAAAGTTTTACAAAATATGAAATCGATAATAAAATTCCAAATTTCAAATTTGGGCTTTCACAAGCCCATATTCGCAGTAGGATTACGTCATTCAAAATTCGATGGCTCTATGTACCGTTGTTCTATCACAACCCGAGAAATATACATACATTTATGCAGATTTTTCATTATTCAGTTTCTTCAAATATAATGCAGGACTCTAACATTTGGTAGCAACAGTTTCAAAAGTGAAACAGACATTTATAGTAAACCAACGTAAAATCGCAAAACGAAAACAATGGCCCTTCAGGAACAAGGCCTTTGGACTAAAAACTACCACCCAAACAATTTCCGGAACTTTACTCCGAACTCCATTCTGAGATTGCCGATCTTGTTTACCACCATACCATCCGAGCATTTATTTAGATTTTAATGAGATTCAAGGAACATACGGATATGAGGAAAACGAATTGGGCGAGTTCAAGTAAAATGAATGTAATAAACTTGCAAGGAATTATCACGCTGTCCATGTGTACATTGCTATAAAAAGTGTGTAAGTGGTGGCAGAAGATGTGTGGTTCGAATGCCGATGATTGCTAGCTGATTTTCCATATTTTTTGCTTTCAAAGTTCTATTATCTCTACAAACTACAATTAAAAATAACTTTTGTTGAATATGTGTTTTATAAAATAAAACAACCATTGTCTTTTCCGGTTCACAAAATCGAACGAAACATACATAATTTCATAACGAGGGCACATCTCTGTGATAAACTTAACAAGTGTGTTAATGGCTATCAGTAACAGAATAGTTTTTTTTAATTGTAAAGTCTGGGTAATGCATATCATATGTCTAAAAACTGAATTATTTTAGCCCCTTTCCTTTCAGCTTATTTTTTATTTTTTAAAATTAGAGAGATTTTATTTTTGAATAATTGAATGAAAGCAGTTTTTACAGAGCTATTGCTTTTAGTTCTGAATCTCGTGCCCATATTCCATGCAAATTTATCTGCGAATAAATTCATTTGGTTATTACATTCCTAACAAATTATTAAAAACGTATTGGCAAAGCATTTTTTAAATATTTATTTAAACTCAGATTTCGATAATTTACTTGCATATCAACACACTTTTGCTTTGTTTT